TGGGGGCCTGGGGAGCCAAGGCTGGTTTGTAACTCTAAATTGCTGACAAACAGCAATGGGAAATGTTGCTGCCTAGCTCTTAGCTGAGCTGCTCAGCGTCGCACAGCACATGCCAAGCCTCACAGCTCCATTGCACAGATGTGCAAATGCTTGGGGAAGAGGGAGCAGCTCCACCCCATGGTGGAGAATGCTCACAGCATTCAGAAGATGCGTGCTATGGACCTGCTACTTCAGGAAGGGCTTGTAAGGAAAGCTGGGACTGGTAAATCGACAGCCAACATCTATTCAGGAACAACTGGTTCACAAAGCTGTCCAAATGCCATGCTTAATCTGCATCAAAAGCTTTCTGGCTCTGTCCTTAGCAGCCAAAATATAGCTGGTTCTGTCATTAAGGAGGGGGAAAGGAGGACAACCTTAGGTGGTGGATTTTCGGCACCATTGGGAATGCCATGTGAACTGCTGCTCCACAAAATGCACCACAAGAATTGGTTGGCTAGTGCCTGTGGCATAACTGGTGACAAGAGACACTCTAGCCACGGGCGTCGGGAGGAATTTTTCAGGGAGGGTGGGGGGCTGCAAATACTCCAAATAAACAAACAAAGGCTACTTTCTAACAACACAAATGAGGAAAATATTGCCTGTACATTTTGCCTCATATCACAGGTTATGCAAATGCCAGAAACGTACTTATAAAAAAGAAAAGAAAAGAAACCTTTTTATTGAAATTTTTACAGTAGATGAAAGTAAAAAGAAAAAAAAAGAGGAAAGGAAAGGAAAAGAGGGGGGAAAGAAACAAAAGAAAACAGAGGATAACAACGTAATGAAATAACATTAAAATGTAATTAGAGTTACAAAACTACATAACATATATGTAAATATACCACAAAAGAGAAACCTGTGAATCTGGGGATCATGGTTTATTGGGAGGGAGCACTGCCCCGCCCCTGAGACACCCAAAACTTTAGCCTGTACCACTTTGTAATTTTACAGAAAGTTAATTTATTGTTTATTCAGCGCTTAGCAGCTGAGTGTCCCCACTGTGTCATTTCAGGAGGAGTGTTTATGTAGCTTTTGAAAACTGGGGATGGAGGATGGAGAGAGAGTGAGTGAGAGAGAAGGAAAACCTTAAACAAGGTATCCTTCTCTGTATAGCAGCTAACAGACCCATAATATTTGGTACTCCCTTTATTTTCACTCCCTCTTTCTAGTACTGGAGCGCATAGCTTCTGTTTTTAAAACTCAAAGTTGCCAATGGGTGCACATAATGGCCTTTGCTACAATCATTCCTGCAGCAAGGGTGATCCCTTTCTGTGTTCCACCTCCATAGCACTAGCTTACAGTTAAGGCAGAACAAAGATCTGGGATTCATCCTCTGTCTGAGATGACCCTTAGTACAAGTTAGTTACATTTGAGCTCCCTAGAGATCTGTCAAGGAAATGTGCTAGTAGCTGTTCAATTAGCTAACATGCAAGTCTCCGGCAGAGTGAAAGGCTTGCGCCTGACATTTTCTTTTAGAAGTCCACCTCCTTAAGATAAATGTAAACATCGGTCTTATATCCACATTCTTGTTGCACCCCTGAAAAAAAGCCCTTTAAATCCTGCGTTAAAGGAATGCCCAGCTTATTTCAGCTCCCACTCAGTCATCAGATTTCACATTGTCCAGAGGCAGTACAGGCAGCAGCCAAAAATTAAACAAGAGGGAGCTATTAATTGCTGGATCTATGCTACTCTGTCTTCCCCGTTACTATTAGACATCAGCAAAGGTCTTGACTGGGAGCTGCAGAGAGCAGTTTAGAACTTGCTCCCTGAAGACTTTGCCACCTGATTCAGACTAAATCTTGCTGTGACCCAGCATGGAGTGGGTCATTGGTCCTGTAGGGCCACCATGCCCAAATAGCTAGATTTTTGACCTTCTGCTGTCAGCCAGTGAGAATCATACTGGGCCTGGAGCCCTTGCTATGCTGAGGCATTTCATCTGGGATAGAGAACTGTCAAATTTCTGGCCCTGAGATCATCTAACAGATTTAGCTACTTTGCAAAGCAGATGGAGAGGCTGGTGGCTGCTTTGCATTGCCCAAGGAACTCCATCCATCAATCCATCCTCCCACTCCCTTCAAAAGGTGTATTCTGAACTCCCAGGAAGAGGTGGCTTATCTTTCCTTAATCCTTTTGCCTCTTCCCAGTCTTCTAGTCCTGCATTTAAATTCCTGGTTTCTAAAAAGAGGGATCGAAGACAAAACAGACCATGAAATATATGGCTGAACTTGGACATGGAGGGGGGGGTCATAGCGACAAGTGGACTGCGGCCACTGGAAAGTTATGTGGCTGCACGCCTTCTCTCTGATGACTAGAGGGTAGGGTGACAATTGGGGCAAACAACATTTGTGGCCATCAAGAGTTCAAAGGGACGCTTTAAAACCACAGCGTATCATGTCCTGGTCCAAGCTGGAGCCTGCAGGGTTGTCCTGGCCATGCACAACAAGGATCCAAGAGAGGCTGCAAGTAGGACCATGGACAGCTCACTGCAGCAGGTGATGGCAATGATGGTAGCAAGTCAAGCCAAACCACACCACAGCTTGGACACTTTGTTCCTGCAATTGTCTGGAGCCAGCTGTCAACTTAAGGGCCAAACTGCATGTGAGGCATACTAAGCACATCACCTGGAAGCACACCAGAGTTTTAAAAAAATAAACTAGTGAGAGGGATTTTCATCAGGACTGTAGCATGTGGGGATGCGAGATTTAACCCTTTCCCACCCAGTCATGAACCTGATGAAAAGTATCCTCACTCCCATCCCACAACAGTCTTTGACAGGGCAATTGCTGCAGAGGCTCTGTCCTTTAACCTAGTCTACCCATTCTCCATGTTATCAGGCCCCTTCTCTGAAAGTGGGGAGGGGTCTGTGTCTCTGGCTATGGTATATCAAGAGTTAAGTTGGAAGCGATTTAGGATGAGGGTATGCTTGAGTGGTCACACTACATTGGCTCTTGAGCTATACTTACATTGCTGGAGTGAAACAAATGCATGGTATTTACCAGAATCCCAGAACCACGCCAGTAACATTTGGATGAGCAGAAGAGGTGGCTCTTGGGGGAAGTCTCTACATTAGCTGCTTTAGACACCCCAGAACTGCGGGGATTATGTAGGAGTTTCCCATATGATCTGTTATTCCCAGCTGTTCTCAGCTGATCACAGCAAGCCCTGTGCCTGCAGAAAAATGAGTAATCCTCATTGGACACCAGGGAACCAAGTCTGGATTCCCAGGTACATTCTGCCTATGATAGGCTCTCACTCCCTATCCTGAACATCATCTGATATTAAGGGCTGTGGGGTGACCTGAAATGATTAACTCCACACCCAGAGATGGCACACCCAGCTCAGTTCCTATGAACTCATGCTGACCCTGAGTATGCAATAGTTTATTCCAATTTCAGTTTTTGAGGTTCGGGTGAGTGGGGAAGAGCCCACACTGCGCGACAGCATGGCTGTATGAGAAATAATAGCTGAAAAGGAACAAGTTGTGCTCAGGAGTCACTGTGGTTTCCTAACATCACTTGCAGGGGCCACCAAGGACATGGGTAAAATGCTGGGAGGCGAAGAGGAGAAAGACCCCGATGCCCAGAAGAAGGAAGAAGAGCGACAAGAAGCCCTGCGGCAGCAAGAGGAAGAGCGCAAGGCAAAGCATGCCCGCATGGAGGCGGAACGGGAAAAGGTCCGACAGCAAATCCGTGATAAGGTGCGTAACACACACACACACACACACACACACTGGCTAGAAGGGAAAGGCCATATTACGTACGTACGTATGTAAGTACGTATGTATGCATTCATTTATTTATTTGCAGCATTTATACCCCACCCTTTAGCCAAGAAAAGACTCTCAGGGCAGCTTACAAACTTCTACTCTTAAGACAGCCCCTGCCCTTGGGCTCACGATCTCAAAATTGATATTACATGGGAGGAAGAAGTAAAAAGCAAGTGCAGTCACAAGTGCTTCAAGTTACAGCCTATGTCCATGACACTTCTGGTAGAAGTAGCTCACCATGTGACTCACTACCACACTAGCTTCCAGTGGGTTAACATGACTAAGGGTTATTTATGCAACCCCATGAATCTTGCCCCGGTGGCATCCTCCCCTTCCCGCTTACTGAGCCAGTCACTGGAGATGGAGAGGCAGTCTTTGGTGTGCTGCCGTCTTCTTCCTTCAGCGAAATGGCCTTTGGTCACCTCTGATCCCCAAATTTATTACACGAATGCTTTGGGGAAAAGAGGTTCCTTACGACTGACAGCAAGTGCTCATCCAGCAGCTGAAGCACTTCCTCAACCTCTCCTGCTACCCACCCACTGCCTCACTAGCTCAGTGTGCATCCATTCTTGCCTTCACAGTGCTGCTGATTTTTTCTAGAAAGGCTTTGGGTTTCTCCCTCCTGATCCCTATGGTGATCCCAAGACCCTGTGCCTGCAGAAGTAACAGCCTGTTAAGCAGAGATCACTTTAGCTCAGGCACAGGCCTCAAAGACTGCCATTCCCTCCGGGACATCACACCCCTGCACACTGATGAATGATTATGCTCTCATCTGCTCTCGCTGTTTGTACTGCAGAGGAGAATCATTCATGAGTCTATGGCGTGTGGTCCCAGGGGGAAGAGCAGCCTTCACATTCAGCAAAGAGCCACTGCGGCCTGCCCTATACTCTGCATGTCTGCTTTGCCCCTTCTGTCTATCCCTCTCTTCAGCTGTTGCTGGGATCCCTTTTATTTGACATGTGGCAAGGGGGAGAGAAAGGGTCATTGGAGGACCATCATCTATCCTTTGATTGGTGACCAATATGTATCAGGCATATGGACTGAAGATGTCCAGGACACAAAGATGTCCAGGACACATCAACTGTGTGTCAGTGGACTGATTCAGGTCATCAAAGGAGTTCTTGATGATTGGCATGTTGGAAGGACTCAACTCCTGATTTCATCGTGAGCCCAGACCCCAAACCAGAAGGATGAGCAGAGGGATAGCTCAGTAGGTAGAGCATGAGACTCTTAATCTCAGGGTCATAGGTTTGAGCCCCACGTTGGGAGGAAGATTCCTGCCTTGCAAGGGGTTGGACTGGATGACCCTTGTTGTTCCTTCCAACTCTACAGGTCTGTGACTTGCCCTGTCCTCCAGGGACTAGCTCACACTGCATTTGATTACTACTATATACTGGATAGCTGGACAACTGAATATGTGAACAGACTCCATTTAAAAGCATTCTGTGTGAGCTGATAGAAATATATGCCTGTGCTGGATCATGCTGACGTACCAGTTATTATTTGATGCATTGCATGCTCACATAGGGACAGACACTCATGTGTAAAGTAGACCTTAGAAGCACATATTTGCTGCAAGACTTTTATCTCCACGTCTGGTCTGTCTGTATGTCCACCTTCTTCTCCTGAGCTGCACTCAGGAGCTACACTCCTGCAAGCAGGAGGAGCATCACTAGAAAGCTGAACTGGAAGGGAACGTAATCATCTACATTGGCAGAAAGTCTGAACTTTGATTTGTTGGGAAAGGCACGCAATGGTCCACCATAATTCTGTTTTGAACAAAAGCATTGAGAACAAAAGTCTCTTGGGGCAGATCCTCTCTCTGTGCCACTCAGAGAGAACCAGCATTGGGAGGATTAATCAGCCAGGGTGCATCCTGCACCTCGCTGCTAAGAAGCTTTAAATGTTCCTGTTGAGCCCTGAGCAATTCCACTGGGAAAGCAAGTGTCAAATTTCAGCACAGACACAGTATTCTGCCAAGAGCAAATCAGCCTGGCCGAAGAAAGCAGCTAAAGAGATATGAATGGTGGGAGGAAAATAACAGGGGCATCAAGAGGACAGAAACATTGTATGTGGGGAAATTGCTGTGAATGCAAAGCCACAGGAGGCCAGGGGGAGAGTGAAAAAATAGAGTCAGTAGGCAGAGAAGGAATTTCGTGCAAGGATGGAGGAAAGGATGGAGGGAGAGCATTCCAGAGCCTCCTTGATCAGTGGCAGTGTACCTCTGCATACCAGCTGCTAGGGCTAGAGCTAGACAACCAACAGGAATAAGTGGTTGTCTTCCAGGTGCGCCAGCTTCCGCCCAGCATTGGGGGCAGGGCAGCATGTGCGTGTGGTGTCACACCCATGGTGTGTGTGATGTCACATGTTGGGAGGAGACCCAATGGGGCCCAGCGCACCCTCCAAAAGACATGACAGGGCCTACTCCCAGCCATGGGAGGGCCCAACTGAGCCCGTCACAGCCGCAGGAGGGCTTTTCTTATCCTGACTCCCCCAGCATTCAGTTTAATTGGATTTTCCCAGGTACCAGTATAATGAGAAAAGGAGGCAAGCTTCTCTCCATCCACTTTCTCTAGAGCATGCATAACTTTATGCACCTTTCTTATGCCCTCTTCCCCCCCTTTGCACACTTTTCCTCTGAGCTAAAAGGCTCTAGACATATGATCCATGCTGCAAGATTAACATCAGCGCTGGGAGCCAGGTGGGTGGATTCTGGGCGTCTGGCAGAAAGGAACCTTTCCAAAGATGTCTCTCCCCAGTCCTTATCTCTCTCTGTCAATCACTGCCCAGTTCCTGGCTCTCACTGTCCTCACATTATTAGTGGGGGCGGTGTGGGTCTCCCTTTATTGCCCACATTGTAAGTGGATGTATTAGGGGCCTGGTGCTCACTATCTGCAATCTTCAATATCCTTCTGCCGAGGCAGATAGCGCAGCAGCCAGCGCTGCCTCTGCCCAGCCCATAATATCTTGCTAGCAGGGGCAGATGGGAACAGAAGATTCCAGCCTTGTGCAAATGAACACACAGAGCAAGGCTTTTTCCGCAGCTTATTTTTCCATTTGGCACCTGGCCACCTTCACCACGGCAAGTGGCCCTCAGAAGGCTGCCTCAAAGGAAGTGTGGCCCCAGGGCTGGAAAAGGGTTCTTCAGCTCTGCCTTAACGTGTTTCCAATTCCTTGCTAGTGTCTGTTGCTCTAGGTAGGAGCAGCCACTTGCATCCTTGCCTCTCCTGTTGTTGTTGTTGTTGTCAATTTCTATACCACTTCATATTTTAAAGGAAAAAATCTCAAAGTGGTTTGCAACACATTAACACATCACACAAAGCAACCCAGAATCAAACATTGCTGAAGAAAGTCAACTATAAAGTATAAATTCAAAGCAACAGAATTAACAGCAAACTAAAATGTTACCTTACAGATTGGGGAAAAAAACCACATTACTAATGGAAGTCAAATATAAAATGCACAGTTAAAACAGCGTATTTGCCAAGAGGATGCTAAAGCTTGTCATTCAGCCATATCCTCATGGAGCCGAGGCAGCAGCAAGAGACTGGCTTGAAATGCAGCATAGGAAGCCTCACAGGGACGTTTGTGGGTGCCGCAATGGACCCCACAATGCAGCTGCATGCAGCTTCACTCAGAAGTAAGTCCCAATGATGTCAAAGGGACTTAACTCCCTACTGAGCATACTCAGAAATCAGCCTGCAAAAATAATGGCACAATCATTCTTTTTAAAGGTACACTTTGCATGGTGTAAACCCTGTCTCTGTCTTCTTGTGGGTGTCTCCCGTGCAGTACGGCTTGAAGAAGAAGGAGGAGAAAGAGGCGGAGGAGAAGGCAGCGCTGGAGCAGCCGTGTGAGGGGAGCCTGACGCGCCCCAAGAAAGCCATCCCAGCAGGCTGCGGGGACGACGAAGACGAGGACGAGGAGAGCATCCTCGACACAGTGCTCAAGTACCTGCCGGGTCCACTGCAGGACATGTTCAAGAAGTAGCCCTGCCCCACCAGCCCCCTGCCCTGCGCTGCCCACCGTCCCTGGCACTGCCAACTCAGAGCTTGGGTTGAAGGAGGGTGGTCCCAGTGGGGCAGGGGGGGATTTTCATTTATTTATTTTTTTACTTCATTTGATTCCTTTTTTTTCTTTCGTTCCAAGGGAAGACCCCACACGTGTCCTTGTGCCATGGGGCCCCTGCCGAGCCACCGCACTGCCCCACCCCACCCCTTTCCCCCCCAGGAAGAAGCACACCAGGCACAGGGCATGCTCCCCCCTCGCTGCACCTCTTGCTACCCATCAGACCAAAAACCACTCTCACCTGCTCTGCTCCCTGGAGCTGCAGGCTGGGCCACTGCCGGGAGCCTGCCTCCCCCTTTCCGATCCCTGCCCCCTGCCCCGTGGCAGAGCTGGAGTTCTGTTGTGCCAAAGTGCCAGCTTGCTACATGGGGAAATGACCCCCCTCTCCCCCACCCCACAAAAAAAAAAAAAACTGGGTACAGGGTGAGGAACTTGGACCAAATTCACTGATGCAACCTCATGGGGACCTGGGGAAGGGGCTTGGGCTCTGCCCCCCCATGCACATTCCTGACACACACACCCCCATGTTGACTGCCAGGGAGGGACTGGGTGCCCATTTCCCTTCACACCTTGGGGCAAAGCCAGCCCCTGCACATTCCATCTCTTGACTAAGAGAGCGACCAAGAGGAGCACCCCCTGCCCTCTTCCTCGCACCCAAGGGCTGCTGGGTTGTTTCTTACATGCTTGGGGGAAAGGAGGAGCTTGTTTCTGGAAGGAATCGAACTCGCACCCCCAAACACTAATGCGGAGAGACTTACCTGCACCAAGAATTACGTGTGTGGGAGGCAGGGGAGAAAGCTGTCCCTGCTACGATGACTTCCATTTCAAGCACGCACATTCAGACACACCTTCCACAGCCCCACTACAGCCGGCCAAGGGCCAAGGTTAAGCATCAGCTCTTCCTTGCAGGATGTCCTTTGGTCTTGGTTTCCAAGACCTGTTGGCTCCTCATGGGTGTGGTGGACAAGAGGTTGGGAGGCAGCACTGTCACCCTCGCTGTCTCACCCATCTTTTTCTGATCCAGTTCATCCTTTGTCATTTGAGCTGCAGGGGGTGAACTGGGGCAGCTACAGGCTGCAGAGTATGAGGACCAGGGCCATCCTCTTTCTGTCATTTTGCTCTCCAAAGTGGAGGGTTTAGACTGAGTCTTGATTTGGGGAGCAGGGGACTGAAGTGGATCAAGGGCGCTTGCAGGCAGGGGCTTATTGTTGTGAATGGGTCGTTTAGATGTCAGTGGCAAGAGGTTTACCAGGGTTTTCCCCAGAAAGGGTAAATCTGGGATAAATAAAGGGGAGGGAACACAGACAGGCATTTGCCTACAAGAGAAACACCCATTCCATAATAAACACCCACTTCGGAGCACCCAAGCTCAAAGAAAGGGGAATAGGGTCAGATGCACCCAGCAGCACATGGAGGATGGAATATGAGCTCCTTTTTCCAGCCTGGGAATAGCCAGCTGCATTTGTCTTGCTGGAGAACCTGCGGGTCATCATCATCACCTTCTTTGAAGGGGGCTGATGCAGGGACCCTGGGACAGAACTGCCAGCGTGTGTGGCTCACCCCTGGCTGGAAGATCAGTCTCTTGGGATGAGGAGCCTCAATTCATCTCTTAGGCTAGGATTGGGAGCCCATTGCTGTGGCTATCTTGGTCCCCCAGGATCCTGCTACAGGCCCCTGCAGATGCAAAAATGGTGCACAGAGCAGCACAGACACAAATCTTGCCTGCACTACTCTTGCTTCCATGACCTAAACATCTCTTTCCTTCTCATGCTGCCCCAGTTTTCTCCTTAACTGAGAAATGCCAAGGACCGGCACCCCCATATACACACTGATTTCTGGGCGGGGGTCGAGGTACTGTATGGTCTGTGGGAGAATCTTCTGCTCTCCCACCTCTGCAGCCCCCATCCTGCCCATGGGTGTGGCGATCTCCAGATCCCCCAACCCGCAAAAGAAAAAACACCCAGTGACTCTCCTTTGCTGTGCTATTGTTGCATTCACTCCCTGCCTGCTAACCCCATCCTTTCTCCAGAGCCACAAGATTAAGCAAAAAGCAGTGACTAGGAGACAAGGAAGGGCGGTTTGGGAGTGGGGGGAGACGTCTCCCTGCTGTTGGTTGGCACCCTGCCAAATGCCACCAGACCTTGGCCACTGCTGAAAACAAAGGCAAGGGCCCAGCCTTCCTTGGGGAAGTCCTGTGGTTCTCATTCTTCTGTATATTTGTTTGGGAAGGAAGGTCCCAATTGTTCCCCCACCCCAAGATTCCCCAGTGCCCCTGGGGGGCTTTTGCTTTTTGGTTGGGGTTGAGTTTGAATCTGAAAGAAATCTCCCTCCATTGAGTGTCCTTCCTTCCTTCCTTCCTTCCTTCCTTCCTTCCTTCCTTCCTTCCTTCCTTCCTTCCCTCCCTAATAGTTAAAGCCATATCAGTTAGACTGCAATACTATCAACACTAAAAACTCTGCGGGCCGCGCTCTCTCATCTTGTACAAAGGAGCGTCCCTGGGGGGGACCTCCCCCCCTTGCCCGCTTGTCTGTGTCTCCGGCCACCCACCATGTGGCCCATGCGTGTCTTTTTTGCATTGGTGTCTCTGTAACAGGGTAATTCACCCCAACGCCTGCCATCTGTCTTATTGTCTCTGCTAGTCACTCACGAGATGGTCACTGTACGGCTCCATGGAGCTCAGGACTTGGGGGTGGGGGGCAGAGGAGCTTCAGGCAGGGCGGAGTAGAGAGGGCCAGGGTGGGGGTGGCAAAGGGGAAGCAGCCCATTCAGCACCTGATTTGCTCACAAGCCGTTTTTGCCATGGCCGACCATTGTGTGTGCAATCACCTCCTACCAGACACAGAGCATGACTGTGGTGTGCAGGAACTGGCCAGCGGAAATTCAGGATGCTCCCTGCTGGCTGCTGGCAGGTGAGCTCTGTGGTGAGGTGGCACTGCTTTGTCCTGGGCTCTCACACGTCCACTGTCTGCTGCTGGACCCTGCTGGCTGAATGCTGAAAACTGCAATAAGTCCACTTCTCACATGGGGCAAAGGGCTGATGCTGAAGCCAGCTTCCTGCCTTTGGGGTGGTGTTGCTGATGCTCTCGGTTTACTTTGTTTTTTTAATGCTACAGCCACATGTTGGTGGCCCGATCCCACACAGTGGGCTTTGACAGCCCTGGGTCCCACTGACCGTGAGGCTTCTGCTGGCCTCTGTGGACCTATTCTGGGCAAGACCTAAAGGTAAAAAAAGATAAGAGTCAAGGGGTATCAGAGAGACCTGGGATGACAGCACCCACAGCAACAGAAAAGGATTAAACCTGGCTTCGCCATGTGGGAATCTCAGTGCTGCCATCGTGGGACTCTTCTCCAGTTACCTTTGCAATGCGGGAACACCAGTTATTTCCTGCTCCACCAAAGCAACATCAGAAACCACAGGAGACATGCTCATGTTTCAGCTCCTTCCCAAACACCCCACAACAAGCAGAGGCAACACTGGTTGGGAGAGGCGCCATTGTATGGGCTTTTCATATATCATGACCTTGGGCTTCTGATGTTGTCTTTGCGGCACTGGAAGGCACTGCACTGCAGCAGTTCCCAGGCCACCACCAAGGTAGCCTGGAGGAAACCCCTTGCCTAGTGCTTCGCCATTACCACTTTTAGTAAATTGAGAAGAAGCTACTTCTAATCTGATGGTGTATGTACACTTCAATGTGTGTATGCACATGGGGGGGGGAATAAAAATTGTAGCATATACACCAGTAGGTTAAGCCAGCCTCCCTCCACCATCCCATGTATAAGGCAAATAAATCTGGCCACTTCCGAGATCCCTTAACTCCCTTTTTCTCCTACATGTTTTAAGGCTCAGAATCACACATATGAGTGTCTGTTTACATTAGTGCATGCCTGAATCTGTGTGTGTGTGTGTGTGTGTGTGTGAGAGAGAGAGAGAGAGAGAGAGAGAGAGAGAGAGAGAGAGAGAGAAATGGATGGTTGGAAGGAATGCTCACTATTCCTTTATGATGTGGTGCATATCTCTGTGAGCGCGTGGATGCATGAGAATGTGAGCAAAGCCAGTGGTGTACATGTGAATGTGCCAGTACTTGTCGCGAGGGCAGATGTGTGTGCGTTGGCACAAACCCAGGGGGCGTGCTGGAGTCTCCAGTGTGTCAGTGCCAACGTGTTCCAAGTGTGCAACCCATTTGTTTACAGATTGCTTCCAGAGCAGGATATCCCTCAGGGGCTCCGCATGGGCACAGAAGAACTGATCCCAGTCCCCTCCGGGACCCAGTCAAGAGCATTGCCGGAGGGGCCCTGCATCCTCCCCACCCCGCCGTGCATGCATTCCCCTTTGTCTGCTGGCCTGTCACTGCTCTGTATTGGGAGGCGGCAGACAGCCCTACTGCCTTGTGCGCTAACCTGCCGGAATGTGTAAACCATCCTGTCTTGCTTGTGCCATCTCTGCTTTCTAGGGTCATTGTGTCTACCTGGCTAGTCCTTGTCCCATCTGCACCTGGGAAGGACATCGAACACAGCGATGGGGTTAAGTGTGCTGAAGGGGTTCCCCAATGGAAAGATATGGGGCAAGCCGAGCACCCTGCAGGCCCTTCAGGTTAAAGCTGCTGGGGGACGTCCGTCTCCCGCCAGAGAGATGAACACCTTAGGCTACGGAGTGCACCACTTCTGAGCCATTGACCTCGCACCCCGCCAGCCTTTCCATTTAACCTGGAGGAGCAAGCAGGGAGCGGTGACACCCCTTTCCCTGCCTGGGTGGGGTGGAGGACGCAGGTAGAAGGGGACAGCAAAGAGTTAAAGAGGCTCCATCCAGCCACCCTATGGTGACCATCCTGCTCTTACTAGTCTTTGAAGAAATAATAAAATAAAGAAATTTGTACATTGCCCTGTGTCAAGCGTTTCTCTGGATTCACGTTTGGGAGGAGGGATTGCAGCAGTAGCGGCAGTTATAGAGAAGAGAATTGAGGTTGACACAGGAGCAACACTTCGTGGAAGAGTTGTGGGACTACCTCTGGTGCTCAGATTGCAAGGCAGACCCTGGAGACCCTTTTGCAACAGCTCCCTTCCCTACAGCTATTAGACAGCTAAAGTGGGAGTGTGTTTTGTCTAAAACTGGGAGGGCGGGTCTGGGGAATTGGATTGGATCCCTCCCTCCCCATTCCCCCATTAATTCAAGTGTTGCCCCTCTTTGCAGAGAGACTAGCTACAGAAAAGGAGAAAGAATTTTGATAGGATGAAACACTTTGCTAAGTTTGCTGTAGGCCCAGGCTAGAGAGCCAGTTCCCGCCCCCCTACACACACACACACACACACACACACACACACACATTGATAGACTACAAGTCCCATCATTCCTAACCATTGGGCGGGCATGCTGGCTGAGGGTTGTGGAACTGGAGACTCTCACACTCTGGAGAGCTGCAGGTTAGCCACCTCTGCTGGGGGTTCAAATAAGGGTCCCTGCAGAAAAATAATTCACGGGCAGGGTTCACAATTACCTCCCTTCCCCCTGCACACACCTCCAGAACACTGCAAAGTGGGAGATGAGAGGGGCTGGTTCTTTCTGGCAAGCAAAAATGCTTGCTCTGATAGAATGATCTCCCAGGTTTTGGGAAAGTGTACTTAACATGCTTCCTCCCACTCCAGCCTCTGCTCATTCATTAGGACAAAGATAACCCACTTCTGGAGTGGTGAGGAACCTGTTTGACCTAAAACTCTTCAAGAGATGGTTAATTAAAAGTGCTGATACAGTGGTACCTCGGGTTAAGTACTTCATTTGTTCCGGAGGTCCGTACTTAACCTGAAACTGTTCTTAACCTGAAGCACCACTTTAGCTAATGGGACCTCCTGCTACCGCCGTGCCGCCAGAGCCCGATTTCTGTTCTTATCCTGAAGCAAAGTTCTTAACCTGAAGCACTATTTCTGGGTTAGCGGAGTGTGTAACCTGAAGCATATGTAACCTGAAGCGTATGTAACCTGAGGTACCACTGTACTTCCTTCCTTATATTAATCTCAGTGCTGAAGAACTACTGCATGCTTTCTTAAATCTCTCCTTCAGGCCCCGAGGAAATATGGAGGCAGGGGGAGAGTTTTAGTCATTGCTGGTGCCAGCTTCCTTCAACAAATGTGACAGTGATTCACAGCCTCCCTCTCTTGTTCTCTTCCCCTAGGAAGGGGCAGAGCTAGAGAGAATACCGGTAATCTCACAGGACCACCACGTGCTAGCTAGCTAGCCCAACGTTATTGCTGTTCATTGGTCGCACGTCAGGTGGGAGAGGCAGCCATGCTCTTATTTTAAATACTATGACCTGCCCCCAGCACTTGGATCAGAATGACAATGCACTCTCTGTACTAGTAAGCAAAGAGTTTTTAAAGCCAGCATTACTGGCAACTGCAGGATATTTGTGCCAGACAGAGAGAGCTAGGAACAAGCGGCTCTCATTCTTTGGGCCAGATCCCTGCTGGGCACTACAGTGCTTGCCATATGGTATTAACTGGCAGTAACTGCAACCCTTCTTCAGCAAGGAGCCAACACCCCGGGAGCTCAGGAGCTGCCTGGCTTGGATACAAGCTTGCTGTTTGCTGCCGGGTGACCTTGGGCAAGTTGCTGCCTCCCTGCAAACTTCACCATCTGAAAAGCAGGGTAAAAGTTATCGCAGCCACCAGAGAGTACACACAGTAAGGCTAAGATGACTTGGGGTCTTGTGAGGTCGGTTTACAGTTGATCATTCGGTGCATGCAGTAACATAAAGCAAGCTCAGAAGATGAAGGCCTACCAAATGTAAGTGCTACTGCAATCCTTCATTGTTATGTTCACTCTTATCAGGACATGATCCCAGATATATGTATCTATCAGGCACTGCCACAACAACCTGAGGTCACTGACTAATTCATCCAGCATGTGGATGACAGTTCCAGGAGTATGCACAGGCCTTGTCATAACATCTCACAGGCAGCTTTGAAGGCTGTTCCTTTTCCTTATTATCTTTTAAACAGGCTCTGCCCTTGCAGTTTACAAGGCCTGTGAGTTCTAGCTGTCCAGATAAGCTGGATTTTTGTGAGGAAGCTACCATTCTTCTATGTACCAAGGCACTTTCCACACCACCCCCTGGAAATTAAAAGAGTCAACCTTCTTTCCCTATTGAAAAATCTGGTATAGAATATTGATTCTTAACCATTTATAAGTATGTTCCCATGTGACTTACAGGGGAATCTCCAAATCCCTATCAACATGCAGAACAATATTTTGTGGCAATGTGGTCTATGTTCATATCAACAATTGCTTAAGTTCAGTAAAAACTCAACATGATGGAACTCCTACATCAATTAAAATATTTAAAAGGGTATAAGGCTCCTCTCTGAAGAGGACAAAATATGCTTACTCTGGCCTAAACCATTTATTTCCATTAACACCACCGAACAGCACACTCCTTGCATACAGAAGATTTCAGGCTCCAAGTAAAGCATCTTTGCCAGTTAAAGGGCTGGCAAAGACCTCTGTGTGAAATGTTGGACAGCTCCTGCCAGTCAGAGAAAAGAATACTAGGCTAGATGGACCTGTGGTCTCATCATAAGGTGTGCTTCCTATGTTCGTAAGTCAAAAGTGGGGAGCCTGTGGCCCTCCAGATATTGATTCCAACTCCAATCAGCCCCAACTGGCCTGACCAATATGGTCAGTTGTAGTCTAATTCCTCCCCAGATGCTGCTGAACTCCCAACTCCCATCAACCCAAGCTAGCATGGCCAAAGGACAAGGATGATGGGAGCTGTAGTCCAGCAACACCTGGGGGTGGCGCAGGTTCATTAAAGGGGCCTCCATGCTGAAAGTGCTGCTGTTGGTGAGCACAAAGCAAATAAGGGAATGCAGAATCTCTTCCCTGAGTGATCTCCTTTGAGAAGAATGGTGCTCTTGTGCATTAAGGCAGCTGTGACTAATGCAGAGGTTTGCCCTCATGAATAATGCCTACAGGAATACCTAGGAGCCCCATCTGTCTTGACCCACCTGAACACAGCAGAAGAAAAGCTCCGCAGAAGAAGGGGGAGGCAGAAACACTGGGTGCCTAAGCTTGGCAGGAAGCTCCCTTAGCCTTGTGTTTACTTGCAAGTTCCCCAGGGGCAGCACTATGGGCTGGGGGAGACAATGGGAGCTGATTGCTGCAAGGACTAAGGCAGCAGAACCAGAGAGGATAATAGCAGCTTTTTGGTCTGGAGGGCTCAGCCCTGCTTGGAATAGAATTAAGTAATCGCTATGATTAGTGCCATGGAGAGGAATGGAAGACTGGTCGCCTGCTGAGAATCCCGGCAGGCTTCTGGACAGAGCTGGAACTGTAGCATCCCAGGGCATCTCTCTACATTGCCACCCGGTCTGTCTCCAGCTTGCCATCCCCCTGCTGCCTTTCCTGTGCCATAACAATGTCATCGGTATAGATCAGGGGTTTTTTTAAGACTAGAGGAAATCATAGAGGGGACGTTTATCAATAACAATTAGCTACAGTAATAAAATTGAACCTCCAGAGTCAGGGGCAGTGTACCTCTCAGCTTGTAAACTTCCCAAAGCATCTAACTACTGTTGGGGACAGAATGTACTGGACGAGATTTAGCCTTTCGCGGGTGGCACTGTGGGTTAAACCACAGAGCCTAGGACTTGCCAATCAGAAGGTCGGCGGTTCGAATCCCCGCGACAGGGTGAGCTCCCGTTGCTCGGTCCCTGCTCCTGCCAACCTAGTAGTTTGAAAGCACGTCAAAGTGCAAGTAGATAAATAGGTACCGCTCTGGCGGGAAGGTAAATGGTGTTTCTGTGCGCTGCTTTGGTTTGCCAGAAGCAGCTTAGCCATGCTGGCCACATGACCCGGAAGCTGTACGCCGGCTCCCTCGGCCAATAAAGCGAGATGAGCGCCGCAACCCGAGAGTCGGTCACAACTGGACCTAATGGTCAGGAGTCCCTTTACCTTTACCTTTACCATAGTAGGGCTCTTCTCATATTATTGTTGCTACATCCCCACTGATTGCAGCAATCCTTGAGAAACCAGCTAATTGAGGAAGTTCATCCATTAGCCATTACCAGCAGCCCTGCTCACCCTCAATTCTCCTTTTCCCCTGGGCTCATTCTAAGAACTGACAGTCAATAGCCAAGAGCCTTGTCTAATCAAATATGTCTGCAGTAATTTACTGCAAAGTGCATCCCATGCAAGTTTATCATTATTCATAATTTTTATGTGTGCTTATGTATGATACTAGATGCCTAGCATCTACACAACCAGCCACTCCTGGCATTTAGCCTCCAAATTTTTCAATTTCCTTTGCCTAAAATGTGCCAGTCTCATAGGTATCATCAGTGCGATTCTAGTGCACTGTTAAAATCTGAGGTCCTTCAAATGTTGCTGAACTACAAGTCCCATCATCTCCAATCACTTGCCACGCTGGCTATGAATAACGGGAGGTGGAGTCTAATGACATCAAGAGAACAGGTTCCCCAACACAGCTCTGAATCTCTCTGAATTGTCCAATCTGTGCCTAGCAACCTGGTTTGTCAAGACTAATATTGATCCATGGCAGTTTTAGAGTCACTAGTAGAGCTTAACTTGTGTGAAACTCTACACTCCATGCAAATCAACTAATTAAGTATTTTAGTGCCCCCATGAACAGGTTGTCTGGTGGATTCCCCCATTCCCTGCAGAGATCTGTCTTCCTTTCAGAAAAATGGCAGGGTACCAGACTGTGCCAGTGGAGTTTCCTGCAGGCTACAGCATTAGCATCTACATAATTCATGGACTGCAGCCGTTTGATCTCAGCTTTGAAGAGGCTCCAAACAAATCTTACTAATGTAGCAGCTGACCTGCCAAGGAACAATTGGTGCAAAATGGAGAATGGGCTTTAATTGGCTGAGCGTTGGGATTGCCAGAATCACTTCTTCTACTACTAAAGGGTCAAACTGCCCTCCAGTGGAAATAATATGCCAACACAGGCATCATGAAACTTGGCTCCAGAAAGGACTGCAAATTTGCTGATTAAAAAATGTACAGTACCACTAAAAAGGAATGAATTTGTTATGTTATGATCTAGGTTCCAGTGTTTCAATCTGAAAATACTCGCTTACCCTTCTCATCATTAATAGGGTGTTTATGTTCATGTATTTAAAATACTTATATGCTGCCCTTCTTCAAAAATAATTTGAAGGCAATGTTCAATATAAAATAAAAGTACAGGCAACAACCAATTAATGAGAGTCCAAACGAAGTGTCACTGTGCATGTATGCACAGCACCAAACCCAGGAGTGACCCGAAAACATCACTAAGCACATCATTAAAGGGGTGGAAGAAAGCCTTAACCAGGAAGAATGGTGTTGAAGCACCAGCAGCTAGGGTGACTGTGGCAGGAAACCTGAAGGATTAGACCAAATATCATTCTACTTCAGCATCCCAATTTACAGCAGCCAGCCAAATGCTTCCAGGAAGCCCCATGCAAAACAAAAACATCCCTAAGTTTGCCTTTCTTTGCGCCTTCCAGTTTCATTATGCTGTTCTTCAGAGAAAACAGTGGCACAGAGGGGTATTCTTGGAATTGCATTATTTGTACATCCTGGTAGTTCAATATATTGGCTTTTTAAAAACTACAACACAGACAGGTTTTATGTTTTTATTTACTGAAACAAATTATCCAAAATACAAGAACAGGTTCAAACAAAAAATAACCCTATTCTCCTTTCATTACCCTAAGGTGCAAAAGGAAGGAAAGACACACACACAACCTCCAAAGGAGGCAAGACGCGCACTCCTCCAAAGGAAAAGGAGGATTCAAAATGTGACAACAGAAAACCTGCATACAATATTCCCCAGTCTTTCCATTTTTAAGGGAGACACAAGTCATGACAATGGCACACTCACATGGATTTAGAGGGACTGCCTGCTACATCCTGAGAAACGAGAGGGCAGGGATTGTTTTCCTAATTGAACGCACAGCACACAAGACACTCAAATCCACTGGCAGCTGTAGCTTCCTCTTTGCAATAAAAAACAATTAACGGCCTAGAAATTGGAGAATTTAGTCAGCCAGTCAGCCTCTGTGCCTTTTAGAATGGTTGGGCATTTTAGAAAAACTTCAAAAAGCAAGCTTTCTAGGCGTGGGAATGTCAAACCATGGTGCTGCTCCTGCTCAAAAATTGGAAAGAGAGAAGCAATGCATATGTGGGCTTGACTAGGAATACCAGGTTACAAATACAGTCCCCAGGAGCTTCTCTTATGAGTCATTGGGAAGACCAAAGAGCTTCACGGTTCCAGCTTCTCTGCTGCTATCATATTTGCCATCTTTGTCATCGCAGGCGAAGGCCAACAGGGGCCGCTTTGGATGCCAAGCCACAGTGAACGTTGAAGACTCACACTGCACTTCCCACAGCTTCTCACCTGAAGTATAAAGACAGAATTAACCCAGGAACCAAGACAAATGCAGCTGGGACACCCTGTTCTTGGCTCGCCTCTGTACGAGAATGCAGTTTAATGAGTTCCATCGAAGAAGAATTTCACACTGCAATCTTTTTACATAAAATTACAAGTGCAATTCAAAGCCAAAAGCTCTCAACCAGCAAGAACAGAGGAGGGGTTTGTAAAATACTGGTGGTTCATAAAATTACAGGGACTATTGCTTTGAGAACAAGAGGAGCTTAGGCTAAGGATGGGGCACCTTCTTCATAGACACATGACATCATGGGCACTCTTCCAAGGGACGTATGCTAGCAGTGCCCACGATGAAAAACAAAAATGGGCATGGTTAAGAGTTAGCAAAAATGAAGCACTCGTGTTTCCACACTCACTCTTCTCCCAGCACCCTAGCAATTCTTTTTTCCAGCCTAAGTGATTACGACTCTTAAGGTCGGCTTCTTTCGAGCCATATTGCAGAGCAGGGTTAATTTTGGATGGGGGTGGGTGTCACAGCATACGGGAAGGAAAGGCTTATCCCTTCAACCCTCCCCCCACAAATGCCCCCGTGCACCAAATAAACTTGAAAGAAGATTTTTGGAGCCTATAAGAGACAATTTGCAATCCTAATTGCTGCAGGGACTGGATGTCGGGAGGCGAGAACAAATGGGAAGGCCCCGTGGGCTGTCAGGTTCCCCACCTCTGGCCGGGACAATATCCTCCCACTCCTGCATGTTCTGCCTGGATTCCCCCACACCAGATATGCATAGCTTTGCCAAGTTTTTAGGTCTAGGAATGGACCAAAAGAAATTTAGGGAACCTCCAGTAGACGACAGGAAAAGTGTAACACACATTGATAGTGAAAGCTTATTCAAAACCAACATGATCTTCATCCGAGCTCATTCCCTAGTATGTGTTTTTAGAATTGCTTTGCCTTTCTTGGCAGACGGTGAGAAGAAGAGCACTGACCTGTTTCTACCTCAGCAATGTCAATGAAGTGATCTTCAGAGGCTGAAGCCAGCATCTTCCCATCATGGCTGAAACTCAATGTCCTCACAGGCCAGTCGAGCCTGAAATATAGGAGAAAATGGAATAAGGGCCGGGGGCGAGAAGACAGGTACCAGTCAGATGCCTCTTGGAAGCATGAAAATAGCACCCAAAGCCAAGAACTCTCCCTCTTTATTTCTTCCTAGCAACAGGGAGAAAAATACTGCCATTGGGTATGGCAGTTCTATTTAGTCATCATGCTGTTGATAAAGCAATCGTCCATTAATTTGTCTAATTCCCTTTTAATGCTAAGCCAGAGGCCATAATATCCTGCGATAACAAACGCTGTACATTAATTACTACACTCACACACACATACATACATACATACATATATACATATACATAGCTACACATGGTCTGTATTTTCTTTGACTTTTCTGCCAACAGATTGTGTTAGCCAGAGTTAAAGTATTAGGAAAGGCATAAAATTTTCTCCTCTTTTCTCAGGCCACACCACTTATAACAACAGATAAAAAGACTGAGTTAAAGGCTGCTTTACTATGTAAAAAAAAAAAGAGCTATGGCGAAATTCTGACTTTTAAAGTTAAGCATTGGAAATCACACACTGGCAATGCTATCCATGTACCCACCCAACTACTAGAACTTTGCAGTAAGTTCAGTACTCAAATTATTAGATTATTTATTAAATTATCATTACTAAACACAGAGAAAGACAGTATCTTTACAAGTCATTGCTTATATAAATTTCAGTAGACTGCATTCATGTGGCTTCCTTAGTATCCTTGCCCCAGAAAAAGATTTGAACAAAAATCTGTCTCTTATATCCACAAAGACGTTATGAACTGCAGAAGCAAAGTTTTTGGATTATGCTCATAGGTTGTATAAAAGCTCAGCTTAGTTTGAGCAGTGTGTTTTACAATAACTGGATAGCGTATCTGCTTGATCAGGAAAAATGTGAATTTTAAAATAAAAACAACTTATTTAAATTCAACACTTTATAAACTTGTCCTTTTTTCTTAGTGATTTAAATTACCTTGATATAAATCAGTCTACCCTGCCAAGGCAGCAATCTGAATTGACATTTTTATAGATCAATCATGAACTCCTCCCGCTCAATTTCTAACAAGAGCAACAGCCCATTCAGAGCACTTCAGTGTACAAGTGGTTAAGAATTATTTATCCAATCTACATACCTAGCTGCAGGAGTGCAAAATAAGGTATGGTATAGACATTTTGACAACCCCTAGGGTCAAAAAAGGTCATTAAGTTCACAGATCAAGATAACTCACCTAGAAAAGCATCGCACGCATACAAGCTCATCCACATCCCAGAGGCTAACCAATGCATCAGCACTTCCTGTAGCAAAATACTTGCCCGTTGGGTCAAATTTGATACAGATGCAGTTTGAAGGATGGGCATTAATTGACTGGATGAGCTTCAGCTCTGGATAGCTGTAGAAAGTTAAAGAAATGAAGTTGGAGTGAGGTTGGGGAGAAAACAGCCCTTTTACTAGCTATGTAACATCTATAAATGTCTTCTTACTGGTCACAAAATGGAAGCTAAAACCTGCTTATATAGTAGAGGCAACAAAGGTTGCCCAGTCTAGGGAGGCTTTATGGCAGCTGTAAGTCACTGAATAATAACAACAGGAATAACACTTTTTTTTTTTATTCCACTTACAGAGTTGCCCGCAGGAATATGAGGTCGTTTAAGACATATCCAAAAGACAGATTTAGATGCCCAATTTAGAGGGAATGACAGATATAGAGGGAAGGCACAAAACAACTTCTGTTACATTGACTGGAATGTGGGGATAAAGCTGTAGGTCTGTACCAACCAACCAAAGGTATGAGCTGGGACACAGGGTGGCATCAGGGAAGAATTCATATTTACTGTGCCTCTGTGATGGAAAACCTCTGGTCCTTAGGCCTAAGTAGGTCCACGAGGCAGTTTTCTCTTGTACACCCACCTGGGTGTACACCCCACAAGTATTTTTCCCCACCCACAACCCATACAAAAGTCAAGACAGCCAACTCACTTGCTGCCCTTCCCAGTAAAGGCCATGGTGAGGGTACCTGAGGATGTTGATGCAACCGTTGCCATTGGTGAGGAAAAACATGTTGTTGTCATTGTTCCAAGAGATCTCATTCACCTCAAACTTGAACTGTTCCTCAGCTTTGGACCGATATGTTTTAGCATCAATGAAGGTGACCACATCATCCTTGTTCCCTACTGCGATAGTCTGTCCGTCGGGGCTCCAACAAATGTTAATATTCTCCCCTGTAAAAGTGAGGAAGGGGAAATTGAACCTACTGAATTCCTTTCTGGGGCAGGAGTTCAGTCAACACACAAACTCCTGCATTTTTAAGCCAAGAACTTCTAACATAATCACGTATACCCAGCCCTATAAAATGCAGCTTATCTACCTATACTCTCTTCACCAGAGATATGGTGCCTGTGGCCCTCCAATTACTGTTGGTCTCCAACTGCCAGTCCCACGCAGCTCAAGATAGCTGCATTATAAACACCATTAAAAATCTTGTCCCCCGCTCAACCCTCTAGATGGTTTCTAGTGTTTTTGATAAAATGGCATCTATAAGTTATACCTTCAATCAATGCTTTTGAAATACAGTCATAGTACAAGTTAATTTCGATCTCAGCCCCTTCTTGAGCAACAAAGATAGAAAAAGAAGAATGGTTCATGTGGGCTAGGTTGCCAGTGGAGACTGACTGCCTCTCAGGACCATCTTGCTCAGGTTCCTGTACTTGCCCCCCATTAAATGCAGTAAACCCTTGCAAAATGCAAAACAAAAGCACATAGGACAGCTTTGTTTTCAGTGAATATTAGTGATACCTACCCTTGGTATTCACGGAGGCAATACATTTAGTAGTGCGGACATCCCATATACGGATGGTTTTGTCTCCAGACGCAGTGACAAATAAGTCTGGGTTACTGGGGTGCCAGCACAACTGATCCACGCTGTCTCCATGGCCACGGTAATTATTCTCCTTCACCTACGGAAAACAGTAAAGTTCTAAACTAGTAATCAACACACACACATCCCTCAAAAGGGAAATGTTATGACGACCCTTTGAATTACCATGCATCTCACAAGCAGCCTAACTAGGCTTAATAATCATTCTAAGTGCACTATCATCCAAGCCTAAGTGCTCAGTTTTCGGGTCAAACCTCTTTTAGGAATAAGAACTCCAGAAAGACCTGCAGGATCAGACCAATGGCCCATCTAGTTCAGCATCCTGCTTTCAAAGTGGCCAACCATATTAGAAGCCCAAAAGTAGGACCTTGTGGTTTCCAGCAACTAGTACTCAGAAACATACTGTCTCCAAACATGGAAGAACATGTTAAGTTATCCAATCCTCACTTAAAGTCATCCATGTTTGCAGCTACCACGGTTACTGGGGTTTCCATGGTTTAACTATGTGATGTGAAGGAGCACTTTCTTCTGTCCTAAATCCTCTCCCATTCCGTTTCGGTGGATCCCCACGACTTCCAGTGTTGTTATGAGAGATGGTACTGACTTTCTCCACGCCACGCAGTGTTTTATACACTCCTTTCATGCCACCTCTAAACCAAAAAACCATAAATGCGGCGACTTTTCCTCACGGATCCCAGAGGTCCATATGCCGTGAAGCGAAGTCACCACTGTTAGGCGCCCAAGTGAGCAGGATTCACGCCAGCCCCCGGCTGCGGCAACTGGTCTCTCTGCTCCTCCTATTTCCCCGCCTGGCGCGCCCAGCACTGACCAGCCGGTCCTTGTCCAGCACGAAGACGCTGGCGGTCTTGTCGAAGGAGCCGGAAGCGAGGCGGCGGCCGCAGCAGCTCCAGGCCACCGAGTGGACCTTGGCCACGTGCGCGGGGAACTCGCGGATGCGCGTGTTGGCCCGGAACAGCTCCTGCATGGACTGCACGTACGGGGAGAGCGCCATGGCAACCGGGCCCAACCGAAGCGGGCGGAGCGGGCGGAGCTTTCGGCGGCGGCCTGCCCTTCCGGGTAACAAAGGTTGAGCTTCCGTTGCGTTACGAGCCCTGTTCTGCAAGAGACGCGCACGGAGGAAACTCGGCCCGCGGGGGCGCGCGTGCATTCAGTACGCAGGCGCGGCGGGGCTGAAATTTAAATAAATGAAACGGACATAAATGGAAGAAAATCCCTTTCGCTTTGACGGAAATATTTTCGGGGCAAGACTCGACCCTCACTGACTGCTGGGACAGGATAGTGAAGATAGATAAGATTAGATAGAGTGCTTTTTTTCTTCAAAAAATGTTTAGCGGTACTCTCATTTTCCCACTGATTGAAATACTGCCCCTCAATGAGGCCAAACTTAAGAGTCACAAAATGTTTGGGGATATGCGTATCCCTACGTACCCCCCAGAAAAAAAGCACTGGATAGATAGGAAGAAAGAAAATAGTTGCTGGGTGTGCAGAGGGAAAAGCCAAGAATTTAAATGGCAAGTTTGATTTTTAAATTTTCTAAATAAGAGTTTTGTCTTCTCCAAGCGATGCTGCCCCACTGGTAGAATAGGAGACATTGCTTCCCTGCCCCTCCCCCAAGATGGCATGATTTCCGGTGAGAGTGAGACCGTAATTGGGTTAGTTGTTGGAAGGATCTGGGAAAAAGAGAAGCGGGTACATGGCCAGATAAAGAAAAAGATTTGCTTGCTGAGCTTATCTCTTAACCACCACTATATACAGCTGGGTTCTGTGAGTGTTTACTGGGGAAATATAGTACAGTTCTTTTGGACTTGGCTTTCAAGCACAGATCCATAGGTTTGCAATCTAGGGCGTATGTCTGATAGCTGCCCTCTGTCAGAAAGTAAATTTGAATTGAATTTTAGAAATAAGGCTTCATCAGTTGTATCTATTTCAGAATATGAAAACAAATTTGGAAAATACTCTGTTGCTGCATAGGTCTTTTGTTTCTGTACTTGTAATTTAAAAAGTCAGAAATAATAACGGGGAGATTTCCCATTTCCTTTGACCTTGCAGAGAAATATTTGAGGTCATTTTGGGAGAGAGAAAATGGTTTCAGGACTTTTCTGTGGGTTTCAGACACGTGGCTTACATATTTGTATGTGTTTGCTTGGTACATTTATCAACATCTATTTTATATATATACGACCTTATTCTTATAACACAGCATTCACCCTTAGATCTCAGGGCAGATTACAACATAAAAGCACATTGTTAAACAATGTTTGAAACAACTCGCAATCACAGAAATAAGTTGGATTCTAAAAGCATACATAACAAGTTGTCAAAACTGTTGAATAGTTGCACAGCCCTTTAGCCAAGGACCACCCAAAGCTATCATATGTCACATATGTCCCTGTTTAGTGAAGTTTTTTAATGTTTGATGTCTTATTATGTTTTTAATATTCTGTTGGGAGCCGTCCAGAGTGCCTGGGGAAACCAGTGGGTGGGTATAAATAAATGATGATGATGATGATGATGATGACAGAAAGAGGTGGTCTCCAAGAGAGTATGTGGCTTGTATCCTGTTTGCCAAGATTAATGTAAGGCTGATTGCCTTATTTTGGTGAGTCTGGACATGTTATATACCTTGGTTCCTCAGTCTGCTATTTACAAATTTGCACCTGTTGTTACTCGTGAGAATGCTCCATTGACAGTATGCTCAGTTTAACAGATACTTGACAGATTGGTATTGCAGGGAGGGGTAAGCCCCTACATTCTAAGCAGCTTATAGCATGGGGGGGGGGTAGTACACTCAATGGCCACTTCCCTGGTATCAGCTTCTAAGAAGCATTTCTGCTTAACAATAACCTACAGTCCACTATCAGTACCTAGCAGGACAGCAAGAAGAGCCTGTGCCTGGTTAGGAATGCAGAGAAGCTGCCAAGTTTCTTCCAGCTAGCTGGAAGGTGAAAGGCAAAGCACAGCACACCTATGCTCACATCATCTGTCACTCTGCTTACACAGAACACTTTTCAGATACCCGAGAGCTATAACTCAGGAGTGCCATACCTGTGTGTTTTAATTCAGCGGCGTCACGATTCTGAATCGGTCACATCAGGTGCACAGCTGACTTCAGCCTGCTAAGTGCTGAGTCTGCAGAAACACCATCCCGTAGCTAAACTGCAAGATGTATCCTTGATTATTTAGGCCGCAAGATGTATCTACAGTTGCAACTGCAAGGCCAATTATTCCTAGCTTGGCCTGAACTGGAGGGAAGCGTCGGTGAATAACTGTCCTGAAGCCAAATACAAGAACCTGACTCAAGCATGCCTTGATCACACACTTTCCTAGCCATGAGTGACACAGAGGATCATGTGTTTGCTACAAGCGCGTAGCTGCTTTGTGCTTGCTTTGTCTGCGCCCGATTCCTTTGGGAGTGATCCAGGCCGGGACTCTGGACCGCAGCCACAACAAACTCTTCTTTCCCCCTTTCCACCTGCTGAGAAATACAACCAAGGTCGGTAACCCCCTGATGTATATTTGTGAAGCAAACAGCGGCGGCGAGGAACTCCCTGGGGCTCCGTTAAGCCCCGCCCTCCCGAATCGGAGTTCTCAACGTCAGCGAGTCGCGGAAAGGAAAATAATAATATCGGGGTCGGTCGGATCCCAACGGAAGCGGCCAGCCCGGCTTGGCCCTATAAAGCAGCAGAGCTGGGCTCAGCCTCGCCCTTTCCGCTTTGCCACGCCCCCCGACGGGCGGGACTGAGCAGAAGGGGCTCGATGGCCGAGGTTCTTGTCGCTGAGTCGAGCTCCGATGGGGAAAGCGGCTATGATTGGTCTCCCCGCCGGCGCCAGGGCGAAAAGAGGAAGCGGAGATGGCGGCGGCCGCCCGCCGAGCCCCCGGTGAGTTGCGCCGCGAACGTGGGGGATGCTGTTTTCTGGTCCCGAGGCTTGGACTTGGCGGCCGCTGCCGGCGTCTCTCCTCCTTTCTGCCTTGGGGACTCCGAGTCATTTCTCCTCTCCTTGCCCATTCACTTCTCCCCACGCGCTCCCGTAGGCAGTGGCGGGGTGCCGGGAGGCAGGCGCCGTCGGCTGGGCACACGCAGGCTTGTTCGTACACGCCCGGGTCGCCAAACGCAGGAGAATATTGTGCTGGCTGGGAACTAAATTTGTAGGGCGCGCAGATAAAGTCGGCGTTTCCAGAGGGCATGACTGACGTCCGAAGCTGCAGCCTTCGGGCAAATCTGCTTTTGGTAAAAACTATCCCATAAAGAGGAGCGCCTCTTCCTTTTAACGTAACGCAAACAAGTGTGCCTGAATGCATTTTAGTGAGGCTTGGAGAACAGGAGTTGGTAAAGCCAGCTTTGTTATCTGTGGGATCCTGACAAATAACTCACTGCACGCGATCCTGCAGTGCTCCCTATTGCAGAAATTCCTTATCTCGCTCCTGAATCCTATCACCGTGGTGCTGGAGCTTGATCACGACGTTGCTGGTATGACCTTGCTCTGCCCACTTTGCCATGAGCCGATCTGTTTCAGGAGGATACCCATAAGGAAAAACAGATGCACAGGAAACTGCCTCACACCAGGGCAGATCAGCTGTTCTCAGCTCTGACAACCGGATCCTTTGAACTGGGGATTCCAGGGATCAAATGCTTTGCCACTAAACTGTGGTGCCTCCCAAACTCCAACTGAGTAGCAGTTGCCATTTAAAACAATGGAAATGGAAGTTGAATGCTAAAAAGGGAATCTGTGTGTGGCCAGCTAAATGGAAGGGAAAGGTCCTGTACTGCAGAAAGCTGTAAACAAGGCCATGAGTCTCTCCTGACATCATGGGCAGTGCTGTAAAGCAGAGATATGTGGCACAGTAAAAGAATGGAGAATGAAATTGGGATAACTGGGAAGATGTGGAGCAATCAAATGAAGTTTGCTATGGCTAATGGAGGGGATGAACATCCGAAGAAGAAATGGTAGCCGCCAGAGTAGAACAGTAGCTCCTGTAACACAGTGTAGAGTGAACAATAATGGGATGTGCAGAGGTGAAACAGAATGAAATTCCACACTTGTTGAATAACTGACTACATAGTATGACATCATAATGTTAGTTACAAGTGACAGTTGTCCATGTTCTAGTAACTTCTGGGCTAAACTATTATTATGTGTTGCATGTGACTTTTGAAAAACATTAAAGAAGCATCATTGATTTTGAGCACCGCAACTGGGTTATTAATGGGGCTGATGGCTGCTATCACATCACCCCACTACTAAAAGGTTCTCATAGAATCATAGAGTTGGAAGAGACCACAAGGGCCATCGAGTCCAACCCCCTGGCTAGTTGCCAGTTTGCTTCTGGGTTCAGTTCAGGTGCTGGTGTTGACCTTCAAAGTACTAAACAACTTTGGTATCGAAAGGGCTATTCTCTCCCACATGAGCCTGCCTGCCAATCAAGTTCTGCTTTGATGGTCCTAAACTAGTAGCCCCTGCCTTCTCAGTGTAGGAGGACAGCTACTGGCAAGAGGATCTTTTTGCTGGTGGCTCCCAAATTGTGAAACTCCCTTTCCAGACCTATTAGCCTGGCACATTACATTATTTGGTGTGTGTTTTAGGTTCTGGGTGAAATCCACCCTGGGTGCATGTGGTTTTAGTAGAGCTTAAACCACTTAATTTATCTGCTGGTTTTTATGTTTTAATCCAGCCTTGTGAATAATTTCCCTCACCCCACATTACTATCTTGCAGTATTCTTTACTAGCTTATTGGGGGCTATCAAAGAAGAGGCAAAAGCTGTATTTCTGTGGAGAAGGGAGGAACCCTCCTCTAGCAGCCCATTTGCTTTTTATGCTAGGCACAGAGGAGGGACCAAGCTTCCCATCTCTTTTGCCAACTCACTCTCTCCTCTGCATGGAACTCCATTCACTAACCTGCATGCAGTTTGTGTTCATCTATGACAGGGTTGGGGAAACTCAGGGCCAGGTGTTGAAAGTGGCCTCCAGGAGTCTCTGTCTTGGAGACTCTTGGAATTTTGCCTAAGCCGCCACTCATTGGCCTTGGTTTGTACTGTACTCGGTTTGTACTTGGTTTGTTTTGTCTGATTAGAAATGTGTCCTTGAACTCCAGTAGTGCCTCTTGCTGGTTTGGATTAAGGATAAGAGAGTATGTGGATGGGTGTAGAAACTAGCCCAAGGTATAAAAATAAAATTTACATTTGTTGATTACTTCAGCCTCTGATCTTGTGGGATATATGGCCCTTGGAAGGTTGCCTAGAAGGGAATGCATCAAATTGCTTTGTGCAACATTTCCCAAATGCTAGACAACTAGCTGGTTGTCGGGTAACTTGGCTGCACAAAGTTGGCCTGCAGGCTAGTGGATCCTCACCCCTGATTTATAGTAACCCATGATCCCTGACCATTGGTGATGCGTGCTGGGACTTGTAGCTCACCAACATCTGGAGTGTCAAACGTTCCCCACAGCTGCCGTATGGTATCAAGGCACTTGGATCTGTGTCAGCTATGAGAAGCCTGGGATTGCCCTGCTTTATGTCACAAATTGGCAAACCGCCTCAATCCTCTTGCAGCTTGTGACGCTGTTCCTAGCATGCAGCTAAAGCCACAGGATATGCCAAACCAGCTACCATGTCATAACCCTGCACATGACCTTGTTAGGGTGCCTGGCTGGCCACCTGATGCTTATGCCTTTCCCTTTCAGGATCTCTTCCCTTTCTGAATGCTGCTGATTAAAGGCTTTACCTTTGTCACATATGTTGTTTATTGATGGTGATCTCATTTCCCACACCCTACTAGGATCTGGCGCCATGTGAGTTCAGGAAGGGACTACAAAGGCAGGGGAGGGTTCAAGGAGCTTGATGACTCCGGGGCAGCACATCCTCCTGCCCTGTTCGCTAAGTACCCGGAACTGTGAAAGAGCATTACTCTTAGGGTATGCCAAGTGAGATGGGTGCTGCTGCCAGGATGTGCAAGATAATTGTGCAGGCATGTGCACTGAGTCCTGCTAGGATGCCAGCTGGCAGCGCCAGCCTATCTGGTGAGATGGAAGGTGTGGATTGGTCACAGGTGTTGGTTGGGAAATAAGGTGGAGCAAAAGGACTGGTTGGTCCCTGCAGTGCTTCTGTGGATTGGCCCTGTGTGCCTGACCGTGGACAGCATTCCCCCCTGATCCTGGATTCAAATTAAGGATCTCCGGTATGTAAAACGTGAGTTGTTTGAGTTCACCTCACACTGGTTGCAGGTCAGGACAATTTTGTGCCCGTTCCTTATAACTGCATCCCACAATGTGGAGGGCACACTTCAGGCTACTGTAGTTGTCTGCTTTCTACTGTGACTCCTTGTCTTCTACACTAGACAACTGTTACTTCTTTCCCTCTGTGCTGCCTTTCATTGCTTCATTTGCTGATTCTACACAAACTCGAGATGTGACCGCAGTTGCTCTCTCTCAAGTTGTTATTCCCAGCAACAGGTATTTGGAAGCATACGGCCTCTAGCAGTGGAAATTGAACGTAGCTGCCATGATTAGCTGCCAGCTGATTTTTTTTAAAGGATTATGAACTCTGGATAATGGCCTGTAGGAGCTTTTATGTCTAGTTCAGTAATTTTCAAGTGACAGAGGCTGGTAGTGACTGGAAGTGTGTAGTTTACAAATAAAGGCTTATTTATGGTATTCATGAACTCTGGCAGGAGGTGGTCTCAGCCCAGTTCCTGAGAGCCTGTGCTTGACATTATGCTACTTTTATTTGTTTTTGAAGTAGTCAGTGAAAGTTGCATCAGCCTTTTCCTTGGAACACACGGTGCATATCGAGGCCAGAGCTACTTTGAGAATTGCTTTATGCCCCTAATTTTGGTGCAGTTAGAAAATGGGGGAAATGAATAAGGGCAAGTTGTTGAGTTGAGGGAACTTAGAAATCAGAGCAGGAATCAGACTCAGAAATAACAAAAGAATTGCACTCAGACCACATTGGTTCCTTGCGCTCTGGTCACTGGTGCGGGGCTTCACTTCCTCCTAGTAGGCCGAGGCCTGAAACCTTCACTAAGGGGGGTGGCAATGGGTGTTGGCAAAAAGGGAAATAAATAGGCCTATGTAAAATGCTGTGTGTTGTGACTGTTTGAATCTTGCTAAAGATAATAAGATTTGCACAAATTTGCAATTTGTTGGTTATAAAAGGAAAGAGAGGTTATTTCCTCTCAGGCATGTTGTGGTTAAGCAGAAGAGTGAGCGGCAGTTGAAACATCTCCCTCTGCCACATGTTTCCTCTTGTGTCCCCTACAAAAAGCTACTAGAAGCTTTGAGAGGTATCAGCGACAACCCAGGTAAGGAAATTGCACCCTGTGAGGGACTCTAATGCAGGGTATAAATATTGTCAAATAAATAATAAAGGAGTTGATCAAAGAAAAGCTAGGCCCTCTTGCCCCGTAAATAGTCTCTCCTGAATCCTTGTTGTTTCCACCTGGTAAGCGCCATATTTTTCCATGTATAAGATGCTCCCTGTTTTGGGGGATTCCAAATTAAGAAAACATCCCTCAGCACTACCCGTGTATAAGACAAGCCCCAATTTTAAACCTAATTTTTTGGTTAAAAAAAGCCTAGTCTTATACACGGAAAAATACGGTATCTTGCAAGGGTGCAGGAGCAGCTTTTAGCCGTCTCGTTTGTAACTTTTAAAGAAATCTTGAATACTTCTGAGCTGACTTGAGGAGTATGGGTTGTAAACAGTGCTAGTCCTCCTTAAAAGTAGATGCATTGAAGCTAATGGACATAAGTTTGGTTTATTAATTTCAATGGGCCTTCTCTGAGCAGGACCAGAATTGGTTACATCCCCATGTTTTTATGCAAGCAGGGAGGCCTCCAGCCAAACTGGAATTCTGTTGGCCATTTAATTCTGATGCTACTTTCAAATATCCAGAGGTTCCAGCAGGGAGAATTGAAATGGTAAAAGGAATGGCAGTTAGGCACTTCCTTTTAGGTTTCAAAACTTGTTTGTAGGAAGGTCATTTGAGCTAGGGCCCTTTATTCAGAACTGTTTCATCTCCAAATGATGTTTCTTGCTCATGCTAAGCAGTGATATCTTATTCACTTCTGCCATAATTTTAAACGTTCAACCTCAGTGACATATTTAGGGATCCAATATGAGAGTCACATTGTCACTTTCTGAATCATAAATTTCATACAATAAGTCATTTTACTGATTTGTCTGGTACAGGGTTTGTGTGTGTGTATGTGTTAAGCATAATTTTCTTTCGAGGTGCCTCACCTGGGACTATTTTTCTCCTCTCTGCGTCCCCTCTGGAATGTTTGTCAAAGAATGCTCCAAATAGGCTTTCAATATATAAAATCTACTTGCTATATCTTGAACGGGAACGTAGAGGAAGGACTGTTTCTCAGTGGTAGGGTGCACACATAGCATGCGAAAGATGCCAGGTTCAGTCCTTGTCATCTACAGGTAGGGTTGGGAGAGACTAGCCATCAATCCTCTCCCCAGCATTTGCCCTTTGCTGCTTCCAGTCTTCTCTCAAGCAAGGATATGGGAGCCATCTGTATGGCATCTAGGCTGGTGAGAGGACTTCTCCCCTCTGAACTACATTTGAGTAAGGCTCCTTGGAATGCAGGAAGACCACAACTTTATTGTCAGTTAACTCTTGTTTTGTATTTATGTACTGAAACCTAGACTGGGTCTGGAGGTTTTTTTTAGTAATATTGAATTTATTCTGTATTTGTTAGATTATTGATTTTTGTCATTTTCGAATTTAATGACGTGCTCTGTATTTTGTATATTTGCATTTTGATGTTTTGAATGTTTGAATGTTTGTGGAAAAGTAGCATATAAGTAAACTCAATCAAACAATCGATATAGCAGAGCTAAAAAGAACAGGTATGGTATGCCTGCTAAAAACCTGTTTCAGAGCCTTTTTGCAAGAATTCATATCCTTTGCCTCTCTGTGTTGCTATTGCTTTATATTTCTTGTGCCACAGAGGATTGCATGCATAATCTCCACTGTCTTCCTACCCCCCACTCCTGGGGCCTGCTATCCTGACTTCTCATAACAGATTCAAGTGGGTATGTACTACCCTGTCCTTGTTGGCTTAATGTGTCCCACCTGGGACAGCTTCAGCCAGCAATTGAGTGCATCACCATTCAGAGTAATAACTCTCGCATCATCAGGCTGACTAAGTTTTGAAGTGATCACCAACAGTAGTCATAATCCAGAGTGGTAGCATTAAGCAAACAGGACAGCAGTACATCTCTCTGTCCCAGTGCACAAGGCTCCCTTTACTCCCGTTTGTCACGTTTATAAGAACATTTGATTTTGCCACATGATAAGGAAATGTATGGGTGTCTAGATGCATTAATTAGAGAAAAAGTTTTGTTTTGAGCACCTGTGGGTAGTTCAGTTGGCTAGAGCATGGTGCTGATAACGCCAAGGTCACAGGTTTGATTCCTTTACAGGACAGAAGCATGATAAGCAGGAGATTACACACCACTGGCATTCTTTTCCCCTATGTAAATTCCCTCTGAGGATTTTTACTTTAATACTATCAAAATACAAAACCCATGCATTTGAGGCATGAGCTTTGTGTGATTTAGTACTGGGAAAAGGTGGCCAGCACAGACCAAGAAGGGTTGCAGAGAGCTAACTGCTGCTGTTTCTGTCATGGGATGAATTATGCAACTAGGCGATTAAACTTCTTGCCATGGGTTAATTGAGGTACATGGTCCCTGGGGAACAAATACAATAAATAAATACTAGCAGCTGAGACCCATATCTGTGGGGTGGGAGAGAGAGTTGTGTCCTACCAACTAATAACCTAAGTCAGCAACGCCCATCCAAAACCAGAAGATCTTGCTGCAGTTCCACAATTATATATTCAGGCTTTATCATGGATGAATCTCCATGATAACTGTGGGAGCTGTGCAGCCACTGTTGCCAATAACTTTTCTCCATTTACCCCATCATCTAATATTGGCATAGGATAAATGCTATTGATTGGTCGGGGGGGGATTCTACAATTTCCAGGGTGTGCCCCCCAACCATTTAGGATTTATAATTTTGGTCAAAGCTGTGTCATGCAGTGATGTAAATCTTTTTCTTTCTCTCACCTTGTAGGAGATCATTGATCTCACTGGGGATGACATCACTGTAATCGATCTGACGGGGACTGAGGATGACATGATCAGCCCTCTTCATGATAGTTGCAGTGGCATTCAGGACCTGAAGCACTCTACTCCAGTCAGCATGCACTCGGTGTGCTGTCCGAAAATCCTCACCACTGAAAGCGCTGAGAACAAAGTTGATGTGCCAATCAGCATGTGGGACAGAGACTGTGAGCTGCCTTCCCCCAAAGAAGATGCTATAAAGAAGCAGCCCATATTTCAATGTAGCAGCTGCCCCATCATCCCCAGCTACCGTGGGGACTCTGAAAACAGCAGCCACACCACTTACAACAGTGATCTGGGCTCCTTAGGAAGCCCCCAGGTGGGGTCTGATGTTTTCTCCTTCTCTTCAACCCCCAGCAGCAGTGAATGTCAAGCCCCCTTGGACTGTGTGGGAGAGGTTCCTGGTGCTGGTCCATCTGTGGAAGAGCCCAGCCCCCAGCATTCCCCACTACATCAGAGACATTCCCCAAGCCCCATCCCCTCCTGTTCTCCAATGAGCACATCTCCATCTCTAGCAGAAGCTAATCAGCATTTTCTAGAGGCAAATAACCCAGCACCAAATGCTGTAAAATCACATGTTTGGGAGCCAGCGAAGCAGATCGACATCAAGGTCTGGTTGAAAACATTGCAGTACTTCCAGGGAGTTCCTGTACATTACCCCTTTTTCCAAAATGTGGTGCAGGAAAAAGATGCTGAACAGGTAATTGATGGAAGAGACCAGTGCTTCAGTAGTCTGAATAAAAAGAGATGGAAATAATAATAATAATAATAATAATAATAATAATTTTTTATTTATACCCCGCCCTCCCCAGCCAAGGCCGGGCTCGGAGCGGCTTACAAGCAATAATAAAAACAAGATGAATGATTACAACTTAAAAATAAAATACAACATTAAAATAATGGAACATTAAAATATTAAAATCTAGCCTCATCGCAGGAGGAGAAGGAAAAGAAAAAAGAAAGAGAGGGAGGGAGGGAATCAAATTGGCTCCAAGCCAAAGGCCAGGCGGAACAACTCTGTCTTACAGGCCCTGCGGAAAGAAATCAGATCCTGTAGGGCCCTGGTCTCATGAGGCAGAGCGTTCCACCAGGCCGGAGCCAGAGTTGAAAAGGCCCTGGCTCTGGTTGAAGCCAATCTAACTTCCTTAGGGCCTGGGACCACTAGGGTGTTGTTATTTATGGACCTTGAGGCTCTCCGTGGGGCATACCAGGAGAGGCGGTCCCGTAGGTACGAGGGTCCTAGGCCGTGAAGGGCTTTAAAGGTAAAAAGCAGCACCTTAAATCTGACCCTGTACTCCGCCAGGAGCCAGTGTAGCTTGAAAAGCACTGGGTGAATATGCTCCCATGGCAGAGACCCCGTGAGGAGCCTCGCTGCAGCATTCTGCACCCGCTGGAGTTTCTGGGACAGCTTCAAGGGCAGCCCTGCGTAGAGCGAATTACAGTAGTCAAGCCTGGAGATGACCGTCGCATGGATCACTGTGGCCAGGTCGGGGCGGGAAAGGTAAGGGACCAACTGCTTGATGCGGCGAAGGTGGAAAAATGTCGCCTTGGCTGTTGCTGTAACTTGCGCCTCCATGGAAAGGGAGGCGTCAAGGATTACACCCAAACTCTTAACGGAAGGCAATGGCACTAATTGGGCCCCGCAAGAGAAGGGAGTTGGTCCCTCATCCCCATGCCATCCTGACCTAGCCATAGGACCTCTGTCTTTGAAGGATTTAGTTTCAATCGGCTCCCACGAAACCATCCAGCTACAGCTTCCAAGCATCTGGTCAGTGTGTTCGGGGCCGAGTCGGTGTGGCCATCCATCAGCAGATAGAGCTGAGTGTCATCAGCATATTGGTGATAGCCCAGCCCAAAGCTCCGGATAATCTGGGCAAGGGGCGCATAAAGATGTTAAAAGCATCGGGAGAGGATTGCGCCCTGCGGCACTCCACACACCAAGGAGTGGCGCGACGACATTTCCCTCCCTAGTGCCACCCTCTGTCCCCGACCAGAGATAAAAGAGCACAACCAGTTACGGGCTATGCCCTGTATCCCGTTTGCGAGGCGGTGGTCCAGAAGATCATGATCGACCATGTCAAAGGCTGCTGACAAATCTAAAAGGATCAGCAGTCCTGACCCGCCTCGATCCAGTTGTCTACGGAGATCATCTGTTAGGGCAACCAGAGCCGTCTCCATCCCAAAACCAGGACAGAAACCGGACTGAAATGGATCTAATGCTGATTTTTCCTCCAGAAACCTACCAAGCTGTTCAGCAACCGCTCTCTCAATTACCTTACCCAGGTATGGAAGATTTGAAACTGGGCGGTAATTGGATAGGTCTAAGGGATCTGATGAAGTTTTCTTTAAGAGTGGACACACCACTGCTTCCTTCAGTTCCCCTGGGAATGTCCCCGTGTCAAGGGACAAATTGATAATTTCAACCAGGGGGGTCCGCGCAACATCTGGACACTCCCTAATCAGCCAAGACGGGCACGGATCAAGGAGGCAGGTGGTGGGCCTACCAACTTGGAGGACTCTATCCACATCAGTAGGGAGTATCCGATCGAAATGGTCCAACACTGGACCTGAAGTCAGTCGAGGGGCCTCCAGTTCAGTCACTGTATCTAAATTGGCAGGGAGGTCACGGCGGAGCAACAGGACTTTCTCCACAAAAAGCTCGCGAATGCCTCACAGCTGTGGGTCGAATTTGTGCTTAAATTTGGTTGTCCTCCTAAGGACGTTATTGACCTAATTATTCTAAAAAGTTGTGCCGGGCGAGAGCTAGCGGATGAATGGAAGCTGCAAAGTAGGATTTCTTAGCAGCTTTCATAGCCATCTCATAGGCTTTCATAAGCGTCCTATAAGATGTTCTTGAGGCTCCGTCACGAGTCCGTCGCCATACTCGCTCTAGCCGTCTGAGATCCCACTTCATTTTCCGGAGCTCCTCAGTAAACCAAGGGGCCCGGTTTCGACGGGGTCGCAGAGGGCGCTTAGGCGCGATCTCATCAATGGCTGCCAAGAGCCGGTTATTCCAGTCCTCAACAAGGTCATCTAATGAGTCGCCAGGAGGAGCAGGGTTCCGCAAGGCTTGTCGGAATCTATCAGGATCCATCAGTTTTCGCGGACGAGCCCAAATAGGTTCGCCACCCGAGCCGGGGAGGAGCGGGAAGTCAATCTTGGCTTTCAGAGCGTAGTGATCAGACCATGGCACTTCCACAGCAGGGAGCATGATCACATCTATGCCAGCCCCAAAGATCAGATCCAGCGTGTGGCCTGCTTGATGAGCGGTTTTGTTGCCTATGGACCTGGCATTGCACAGCACCAATGACGGAGGTGTGTAATCCTTGCTCTCCCTACCCTCATCCCTTGGGATGGGGCGTAGATTGGAAGGGGTTCGAGGATCACTGCATCTCGAAACCCTTCGCCGATAGAGATATCTAGCCCCACCGCCATTCCTCCCTAGCCCTTCAATTGTGGAAATCCCAGATCCCATACTAGCTTCCCCAATAGATGGGTAACATCCCCTCAATAACAAGTCATCCTTGGGCCAGGACTCCTGGGTCAAAATGGTATGGGAAAGAGGTGGAGGTCTGATAGGGTAAGTATCCCTAGAAGATAAAACCCAACCAACCGCACCCCAAGCGGGGGAGACAGTCCCATGGTGTTTCATTAACTGTCAATCCCCCTCTCCCTCCTGGGTTAATTGGAGGTTTGTTGGTTCTATCTGTGGCTGTGGAAGTATTAATGAGGTATGTGTTATAAAATGTGGATCACTGGCCAACAAAGAGCCAGATTCGAATTCGGAAGATCTGTCCATCCTGTCTCGCCAGGAGTACAGTAGAGAAGGCTGATCATTCTGATAAGTTTTTGGAACATTAGGCAAAGGTCCAGATGTAGATTTGGTGCTGGATATCTCCAGATTGTCAGCAACATAGAGTTCTTTAGGTGTTGTTGCCATAGAAATGTCGGAGGTGCCAAATTCCTCATCTAATTTGATGTCATTTGAAAAGGGAACAGGGAGTTGCACTGATGTCTTTCTATGGGATAAAGAGCTGTTGGACGTCTTTAAATATTGTGCTCTAGGCTCTACTGTCCTTATATTTTGGGTAGAAATCTCAGTCTTTATACTCATTAGCCTCTTCTTCAGGTCTTGTAATTCTAGGCTTACAAAGTTCTTTTCTTCCTTCGGGCAATTAGTATTTCTAGTGTTGAGCTTGGTTTCCTTTATCCGCATTAGCTTTGACTCTATGCAAGGGACCAATTGCCTCCTAGTTTCGTCCTTAAATACCCTCACTGGGCGGAGAGAATGGAACCACCATAGGGTATCCTTTATCTCCATGAGTCGAGATGGGAGGCTTGATTACCTAAAGGTCATAAATAGCCGCATGGTGTTTCTCAAGGTAGGCAGGAAGTGGAAATTTTCTAGATCTACATTTCGGTAATGGTAATTCAGGAGCTGAGACAAAGACATAGTAATTTGTCTGCGGTTCAACCACCTATGAGTGTATCGGTGAATCTCAAGCATTATCTGGTTCGTTTGCAAGACTTGACAGGACCTCACTTCATCCATAGAACCTGGAAAGAACCAGGCTGTACAAGCAAGAGCAGGAATGAGGTCATGCAGGCTGAAATGCCCAACATCAACCAAGGCTCTAGTAAGTTTAACTTGATTGTGGGTCTCGCAGCACTGCACAGATTTGACAGCTTCACAAATAAGCATGTGTGAAAGAGAAAGACTCTCTAAAAGTGCAATCCTATGCATGCCTACTCAGGAATAAGCTGCACTGAACTCAATGGGGCTTACTACTTAAGTAGATATTTGCTGTAAAAGAAGGAGGCCATTTTTATTTTACATGTTTAAATATCTGAGAAGGGTTCTCCCTCTCAGTTGGCAAAGACAGTTGAACAGAAATACCTTATGGGGGGGGGGGGGGACTTGTTATGCGTTTATGTTCAAAAAATTCAAATCTTCATTCAGAAATTATTTTTATTGGAATAATTACTTGTATTTTAATTTGTAACTACTCAACATCATACTTTCCCAAATATTATTTAAACTGTAAGTAAGCAGTTTTCACTGTCTTTTAGCATACTCATTTTAGGATGCATGAGGTCCTGTGCAAATACATGCATGTGCTTCCTATGTAGTCACCTGAGAAAAGTTAATTATAAATTTGATCTAAGATTGGACTAGTATTGTATCCATTTCAGCTGCCCAGTTTGCCTTTCATTGCATTCATATGTTAAGTTACCAATTTTATGAAACGGGGCATTTTGGAAAATTTTCTGTAGAAGAAAATAGCAATAGAAAACTTCCTGCAGAATTTTTTTCAATCCCTCTTCACTTGTGCTCAGGAACGTTATGCAATGTTTATGTTTCATTGTATCCACAGAAGAAGCAGCCTATCCCATCCCGGAAACTAAGCATGGTGTTCAGCACTATCGAGGAGAAATTCTTCCAGGGAACCTTGGACTTCCTTATGGATTATGTAACCTCCCAGCACTACCCGCCAAAGGAGATCACATCGTGTGTGATCAGGCAGATTCTCTTGAGCTCAGATCAACAAGATGTGCAACAAGAGACACAGAAAGATGCTTATATGTTGTTGATGAAAATCCAGTCGTATGTATCCCGTGAATTACTATTCTTTTATTTTGTGTTGCCTTGCAAAGGACCATGATCCTTTCTTTCTAAGCTTTGTGGTTGTGTTGTAAATTCTGCCATAGTTTTGTGTGTAAGTGATTGCTTAAGGAAACAGATAAATAGCTGCACTTGCAGAAACATACTCTGCTCTTTTAATGGTTTGATCTTTTCATTTCTGTGAGGCCTACTCTTTATTAATTATGAACGTTGATCATGCACCCTTCACTGAAAGGTGGTCCCAGGGCAGAAGATGTATCAATATTTAAATAAAAAATGAGCCATGTAGAGACTAAACAAAATAAAACAACGTCAATAAAATTCACAATAAGATCATAGGCAGCTGCCATGGAAAAGCTATTTAATTAAGTGATTATGTGATCAAATTTATATTACAATGGAACAACTGTATGTAATAGCAGCTTATTCATACAGTCAGAACATGCACCCCAACTGCATTTTATCATTGGTTAAATATTGCTACAAGTCCCCATTCAAAGGCAGTAAGTGCAATATCAAGAATGTGCACAACTGGGATAGTGGTCGCCTTGCTCTAGTGAAATACAGTGTATCTGTTTGCACCTTTTAAAATAAACAAATAACCAGAAGGTTCACAAAAGAGCAGGGTACTTCTGCAAAGGAAGATCTGATACTTTTTAAATGTTATTTCAAAAAGCCTAAATGCCCTCTTCTACAGTATTTGTAAACGTTAGTGACTTAAACAGTTGGACCATAGCATGAGCTTTAATAACAGGAGCCATCACTAGTAATGGTCCAAGCAATATCCTGCAGGTGTTTATGGCACTTCCAGGGCAGAATACAACTAATGAGTCCTATCATCAGTTGGTCATGGTTAATGTGGTATGTGTTTTACTAAACTGCATATTAACAGTTGCCACTCTTCACAAAATACCACCAAGGAACCAATAGACTGGATGCTTTGAAATGTGTCTTTGATTTGCTATTGCAAAGAACGTTTGTGATAAAGATTTGATGGTATAACAGGCCTACTTCTTAATTTTAGACTTCATCCAGCAAGGGCTGACACTGTGGTCTGGGACTGGCTGCTACTGCGAGTGGTAATAGAAGAGCAGGTATGTTGATTACATCTCACTGTGTGGGATGGGTGGTTTTTAAGAAACTATCATTCTGCCAGCCTTTGCTTTGCAACTAAGAGAAGGGTTCCCATGCCAGCCCCTGTACTAACAAACTGGTCTTGAAGTAAGCCTGATTGGCAGGGACTGCTTTGCATTTGTTGCAGAAAAAGAGGAAGGAAAGTTACCTGGCTGAACATCTTAGTCACTGTCAATAAATCAAGGCTTGCCAAAGGACATTTTGTGGTCTCTTTGATTTCGGAACGACAGGAAAGAGAACCAACCTCAAGTGGCCAAAGAAAGTGTAATGCACTTTAAAAAACATGTAAATGCCCAGTGCGTTTCAGCCAGGAGAGGCAGAATGATTCAATTCTCTGCCCCTGCATTCTGTGCTAGGTTCTTCTAACCACCCCCAGAACTAACTGAGGGGGGGACACATAGGGAGGAGGGAGGAAACTTGTGCATTCTTCACAGCCCACAGGCTATGCAACTACTGTTGATTATATGCTCTTCCTGCCAGGCTGGGTTTGTTTGTGTTTGTTTGTTTGTTTGTTTGCTGTTCTTACTGTTCCCAAAACCTGGCATTCCGTGGTCAATGCCATGTATGATTTATCACTACTGAACTGTTGTTGTTCTGGCTACATCCCGAGTGCTTACACAAAACTGGCCACTCCTCTACATGCTTATTACTGAATGAGGCGCTTTATGTTTAGAGCAGGGCCAGGGAACCTGTGGCCCTCCAGATGTTGTGGGACTCCCAACTCCATCTGCCATTCCTGGCATGGCCAATGGTCAGAGATGATAGGAGTTGAATTCCAGCAACGTCTGGAAGGCCACAGATTCCCCTTTCCTGAGCAAGGACCATTAATGCTATTATTTTTGTCTTCAGTCACACGTAGATCTGCTTTATATCTTTGGGGCAAGTGCTTCAAATTCCTTTGTGCCTCAGTCTTGCCAACATCTAGCTGTATCTACATCTTTCAGGGCCAAACCCCACATGATGTTAGTCACATATTCTAACAGTTACTCTGATATTTAAACAAGTGTGATTAATCTTGTGGCAGCTATGAGGCCTCCAGATAAGAGGGTGATTTTAGAAAACCAACATGGACCCATAAATCTTGATCAAGTAGGTGTTTTGAGACCGGGGCCCCACAGCTGGCTTTTTCCAAAAAGCAGCCAAGTTTTAAGCATGCTTGTTCAAACACTGGACCAGTATCATGTGTAAGCTGACCCTCATGGATATATCCATTTTGGCCTAGCTACAATCAGGACTGTTTGTATTCCAAAATCCCATGAAATAACAGAAATCAATATACTGAAAATCTCCACTTTTGTTTTTCTCCTTTAAAATGAAAACATCTTACCTGTATACTGGTGACGGTTGCTTGAAATGGGTGGGCCTCAGAGTTTATATAGGTCACAGCAGATACTAACAGAAGAGATCTACAGGGTTAAGCCTGGAGAGGAATGAACTTCCCCGGCTACCATGCACACTTGGCTGGAGTGCTGCATGGCCAATCCAGTCACGAGACTCTCATAGGGTGGGGTTATGACTACGTTTCTTGTCTTATTCATGTGTAAACATTGCCTATAATTTGCATAATAGCACATGCCTGGCAGTTTCAGCCCAGGTTTTTAGGTTTGTAAGCTCATCATACAGAGGAGCGAGGGCTAATTATAAATAATTCCGTGTTTAATTTTTTCTGGTACCCTTAGAAAGGAAAGTTTCCTGGGCGACTCCTCTTCTTGCAGTATGTGATCCAGACCTTGGAGGATGACTTCCAGAGGATGGCCAGAACAGGCACCCTGCACAAATCCATTGCCAAAGCAGTGCTTTCCTGTGACCATTGCTTCGACAATGTCAAGTAATTATCACTTTAATCTAGAGAGGCTTCCTGTGTGCCAAGCAACTAGGGCTTGAGAAATTTCACTTGTCACATGTTCTCTGCTACATGTGCCCTTTGGCCACTGCTGATTTTAAGAGCCTGCACGTGTGAGACTCAACCTAAAGCACTACAAATACTAGTGACTACTCACTAGGCTAAAGCCCATAAGTATATGTGGGTGACATGCAAGACCACTTGCCACAAACAAGCACCTGGGGTCATGGCAAGAGGACACACAAGCACATCCTTCACTAATACTCTTGTTTCTGTTGCAGGGAAGTGATTGAATGGCTAGTAGCTGCAGTTATGGGTATACGGGTTACGCAGTACAGAAGACACGTGCAGAAGACCATTCCTTCACTAGAAACCTCCAGAGCCATGAGCAGCAGCTCTGTACCAGAATTGCACTTAAACCAGACTGCACAAACCGATGACGTCATTCCACAATTTCAGTCCCAAACGTAAGTAGGGGAATGTACTTTTTTTCTCTTTTGCACTGTACATTGTAGAGAGGGGTTTCCTCCTAGATATACTTTAAAGCAAAAATCATACCTATTCAGGTGGTTATCTAGGTGTCTTTCCCAATTTAGGATGACCTACCCCAGAAACAGGGAACCTGTGGCTTTCCATGTTGTTGGACTCCCAACTCCCATTGGCCAGTGACCAAGGAGGATGGGAAATGTAGTTCAACAATATTTGGAGGCCCACAAGTACCCCATCCTTGGCCCTGGTGAACTAGGGAAGGACAGATTTTCTTCTAGGTTTTCATTTGGTTTCAATGATGATGATGATGCACTGATAGTGGTGGGTGTCTGTCTATCTCAGTAAGCCTGGGATCTGAGCCTGACAAGCCTCTTCCTGTCTTCAGTAGATATCAGCAGAAAAAAGATACAAGTCCGCTCTTGGACTGGACCTCTCTACCATTACTAATGTTTACACTGTAGAAAAGATGTGCATAACCTTTGGCCCTCCAGCTGTAGTTAAACTACAACTTCTACCATTCTGGGCCATTGGTCATGATGTCTGGGGAATTCTAGTTCAGCAACTGCTAGAGGGCCAAGGGTTCCCCACACCTGCTGTGGAATTTTTCATTTGGCTGGGACTCCATGCAGTTGTTGGAACATACTTCATGGAGGCCAGGAATGTTGCAACACGTCATGTGACTTAAGCAACCCCCATAAGAAGCAGATTCAAGCATTTCTATGGCTGTGTGGATTATCAGCAGAACAGAAGCAATTTGGAAAGAAGCTGCACCATTGAGAAAATGGCTTGAAACAGGCCTCAAGTTCATTAGCTTGCTACTCAAATGCCCATTAAGTATCATGAACAAGTTCTGAATGTTTCAGCTCTATCTCATGTGAGGCTGTACATCAGAATTTTCATCTTCCCTGATATGGTAGCTATGTTCTGATGGTTCTCTGTTGGTTTGGGAGCAAGACATTTGATACACTACAGTGGGGTAGTGTTGAGGTGATTAACACTATTGTTTCCTGTTTCTCTGACTTAGGGAGGTGGCATTCCTGCAGAGGATGCTTTCTATAGCAATAGAAGTGGACAAGTCTCCAAACTGCAGCACCAGTAAAATTGTAGATAATGTGTTTTATTCATGGCTGAATATTCCCAAGCGCTGCCACAGGTAAGGAGTGTGGGTGTAAAAAATCCTTCTCTCGTTCCCTGTGTCACTGCCCAACTGCCCTCATGCCCCCAGAAGCACCTACTCATTATATACCTGGATGTTCAACTGTTTCTGGACAAAGAGCAAGTATTTGGTGAGACTGTGCCTAATCTTGGGAGGACTAAAGGTCCTATGCAGATCTAGAGAGCCAGCAAAAGTATTTCGCTGATATGTGTCACCCAGCCTTCCCATCTGTTCTGAACAGAGAGGCAATGAGCTTTTTTCTATCAGCAAATGTAGCAGTGGTAGACACGGGTGCCTTTTTCCTGTTGATGGGTTGCCGAGTGGGAGCATGCCACCAGCATTTTGTGGTCTGCCTTTCAGTTCCTTTAGATATGGCAGCATTTTGTGACTGGCATCCACAGAACTTCTGCAAGATTCCCAATATGCCCACTGGCCTGAAAAGGTTTATACAAGATGATGGACAAGTGGATTTGGCTTGGGTGAAGCAGTATCACAGACAAGATGTGGGGGCCTGGTGGGCCTAATTGGCCTGTGAGCAGGACATTCCCCATCACAGCCACTAAATATGCCTGCAGGGTCATACCAAAGATCCATCTAGTCCAGTATGCCTCTTCCAACAGCAGCCAACTAGATGCTTCTGAGATCTTTCCTGAAGGCATTAACCCTCTCCCACTGTTGCTCCCTTGCAGTTGGTACAGTAGTATACTGCCTCTTGAATCTAGGAGCTCCATATAGTCATTATGACTGATAGTTGCTGGTAGTTGTCTGCTCCATTAAGTTACCTTAATCATTTCAACATAAATACATAAATCTTGGTTAACATTCATTACTACATCTTTTGACAGAAAATAATAATAATAATAATAATAATAATAATAATAATAATAATATATTATTTATACCCCACCCATCTGGCTGGGCTTCCCCAGCCACTCTGGGTGGCTTCCAACAAAATATTAAAATACAGTAATGCATCAATCATTAAAAGCTTCCCTAAACAGGGCTGCGTGTATGAAATTAAGTTTTCATATAATGTATACTTTTCTTTTGGCTGGCATGAACCCATTGCCAATAAATTATTTCTTTATGAGATGCCAAGTTCTAGTATAATGTAAGCAGGAAAAGAACTTCACTATGTACTTTTTTCTGCTCCATGCTTAACTTCATAAACCTACATGAAGCCTTCAGTAGTCTCCAAGTGTAGTTTAGAAAACAAAAAAGGACAGAATCAGAGGAAATGTACGTCCACTGCCAGAGGTGTACCTGGTGGGAGAAGCTGTGAGCGAGGACATCCCACCCAGTCGGCTATTGACTTCAGGTGGTCTTACACCCAAGCAAGGAAGTTTAGGATTGCAGTCATAATTTGTGAATGTTATTCCAGTGTTGTTAATGACAAATTCTAAATAGCAAAAAATGGCTATGCTTTGCATGTTTTCTTGGATCTCACTAAAATGAAAAGGGTATTACTTCAAAGTAAGCTTGTTTTAGGTTTTCTACTTTTAGTGTAGAAAACAAAGAGAATTCACTCTCTGCTGATTGCTTATCATCACCTATTGACAGCCTAATTAAAGCAACATCTTATAAAATAATTCCACAGCTGTATTTATAGAAATATCCTTCCCCAACCTGGTTTCCTCCATATGTACTAGACTTCAAACTAGACTTCAACACCCATCAAAGACCTTTGGCTATACTGGCTTGGGCTGGTGGGAATTTGTAGTCCGAAAACATGGTTGTACCATTTTGGGAAAGCCTGCTGCAGAGCATGGTTAGGTTTTCTTTGAACAAATTAGTTCTGTATCAATCATTAGTCTATTTGTACTCAGTACAGCAGGGTGAAATGAAGCAGATAAGCTTCAGTCACAGCATTTACCCACTTCTCATTACCCACTATTCATGCAGTAAACATCTTCAGCAGGATAGCAGGCCTTGCTGACCACTGAGTGCACACATTCAGATAGGGTTCAGTGTGCATGGAAACAGCTACCATGTTTCTTGTGTCTATAGCAAACTGTGGGCCCCGGGACTTCCATTTTTCTTGGATGAGTTTGTTAGCCTCAGAATGCAGAGATGCTATGCCACAAACGCCCTCTTCATCCTTGCCTGCCATGGTTACTTATTTCCTGCCAACGCAAATTGTAAGAATGGGTTTAGCTTGTCATTGCTATTTTGAAAGAGTGGGGCCTGTTCCAGATGGGATTGTGCTTTGGGAACAGTTCTGGACTCTATCCCCCCCCCCCCATTTTCCCAAGTGTGGCTTGGCCTGTTAAATTGGTACCAGGTCAGGGAGGCCTCATTACTCAGTTGAATCAGCTATGCTGCTTTGGCAGTATGTTTCTCGAGCTAGTTCAGGGCATTGACATATGAAGCCCAAAATGATCTGTATCACACATAAGCTTTGGAATGTCTGCTCCCATTTGAGCCTCTCTGCAATTTTAGAGCAGATGAGGAAATTCCATTTCAGGTTCCATCTTATCTAGTGGTCAGGTTGGCCCACACAGGCTTTCTCTGTGCTGCTCCAGAGCTATGGCATGCACTTCCATGGGAGATAAATTTAGTATGTCCCCTTCCAATGTTCTACAGGCCGGTGATAATACCTCTGTTCCAGTATGCTTCTGACAGGTGTACAACTGTTTCACAGTTGATTCATTTTGCTCTTCCTTGGTTTTATTTAGATTAGTAAAAATGGGAACCTCTTATTGGGCAACAGGTGGTATAGAAAATTTCGTAAAACAGGGACAAGTTATCGTTCCATTGTTGTCTCCTCACAGGGAAGCCTTCCTAAGCAGTATGGAATGTCACCTCTTACGCTGCAAAGTGTTAGAGCTAGTTTTCTACCACAGCTGCAGAGAAGCCCCTGATCTGCGTCCCTTGTCCTTGAAAAAGATACTGCATTTTCTGAAACACTGTTCTCTGCAGCTGACATACCAGGTACGGCAGAGTTCCTTTCCATCATTTATCCCAAGAACTAAATAGTTAGTGTTCATCATTCCCTCCTGTTTTTATGTATTCTTTAATACTAGCCGTTTCATTCCAAACTGGGTTTACCTCTTTAAGAGACATGGATCTACCTCTTGCATTCAGAACGGTTATTAATGTATAGAATCGTTCTAAAAACCAAAGTAACTTAAAACCTATCTCTTCACAGGACAATGAAGCAACATGGCAGAGGTGGGATGAGATGCTTCACCAACTGACTTTATTGTTGCTGAGCTACCGCCGAGTAGTCCTAGGTGAGCAGCTTGTTTACAGCTCATTAGCTTGTCTCCATAGTAGCACTATATCTTGATCAGGTTATGTAAGTGTCAGCTAGCAAACTACTTGGGCCATTTCGCAGTCTTGCTCACTCATTAAGTCATGTACGCATAGAGGGGTGGTATGTCTAACCAAAAAAAAACCCCTCAGTTGATAGAATTGCCTGGTGGAAATCTATTACTGTGTATACTTGAGTATAAGCCGACTTTTCCAGCACATTTTTTATGCTGAAAAAGCCCCCCTCAGCTTATACTCAAGGGTCCGTCAGTGGCAGCGGAATGAGCAGCATGAAAGCAGCCCTTTTGGGCTGCTTGTTCTTCCTCCGGCGCTGCCACCACCAGCCTCTGCCTCTCAGCAGCACCCTAGGTAGGCAGGGGCTGGGGGGGGGGAGCCCCATCTGCCGTGTGCACCCACCAGGAGGTTTGTGGTGTGGTGAACCAGCTTATACTCGAGTCAATAAGTTTTCCCAGTTTTTTGTGGTAAAATTAGGTGCCTCGGCTTATATTAGAGTATATATGGTAGGTATCATCTGTCTATGGGTCCTTAAAATTGCCAAATATTAGCATTTTCCAACGTGTTTCCTGCAAACACAACACTAGGATAGAATTTGATGGGGAGGGGGAGACTCCAGTTTTGCCTGCAGATACATTTATCAGGTAAAAATGTAACAGGTCCCTATCCCACTGTTAAGCACAACCCTTATGGTCAAGTGTTTCCTGCTTTTCTTTTTTATAGGGCACTTAAGAAGCTCTGTGTGTGAACGAGTAAATTTGATTATCAAGGCTGCCAGACCCAAACTACAGATCAGTGATCTTGTTGAAAGAGATTCTGTAGAGTGCGACATTGAAGATTTCCAGAATATTCTCTCTCTGACTCTGGGGCAGCCACTTCCCCAACCCATAAAGGAAAAGACTGAGCTACTCCAAGAGTTGCTTCTCGCTGCTATGAACTAACACAGGAAATATTGGAGAGCTGAAATATAGACTTCAAGTATGAACAGCTGAGCACTGAATTTTCAGAAACGATCTCTAACAGTAACATTAACCCCCCCCCCCCATTTTGTATTCATCGGTGGACAAGAGGTTGTACAACTTGATCTTCGATTTCTGTTGTCATGCAGATCTGTTAGTCTTTTTGTTTTGAGTTTCATATAGTTTTTATAATAAATTATTTTATTAAGTGAGAGGCGTGAGAATTTTACATTTATAGGGACAAAAACACTGGAAATTGTTTATTCAGTAGTAAGAATCGAAGGGCTTACTCCCCGATATGTAGATTGCAGTCTTAGTGATGTGTGACAGATTCTGCCATTTGCAGTGATGACCACATCCCTAAAAGTCATTCTCTAAGGTTTTTTTTATTATTGTGCAGAGATGTTAAGCACAGAGACATGAACACAAAATATCACAAAATAAGTTAACACTAAACAAAAAGCTGGATCACTGTTTACACACAGCAATAGTGATGACAAATAGGGCAGAAAAAGCTACAGTGGTATTGAAGCACAAGTCCTCATGTCGTCAATGTAAGTAAAGGAATAAGATGAAGCTGAGTGAGACACCACCAAGTCACTCAGCTGCAGAACTGCCAACAATCTGTAGAAACAACACAGTTCAGAAAGGGGACAGATCCCATTTAGGACATTAAAAAAAAAGATTAGTGAGGACGTCTCAGTAAACATGCTGTTAAACAAAAGACCTTTTTATCTGCATAATGGATATTCCAAGATTGCCATCTCATCACTATAAAGCCAACCGGTGACTTACGAGTTTAGGACAAGGACAGTACCTGCCCCCTATGTCTTCAAGCAATCACAGAACACGTCAAGTCTTCCACTGTCTGATTGCTCAAATAGAAATTAGCAACAATTTATGCAAATGCTTATGTTCACATCTAAGGTGAGACGCTAGGTTAAAATCTTCCCTGTGCTCTAATGACTTATTTTCCTCTTCCTCCCCAAGAAATATATAAATAAGCATAACCACTGTCCCTTTAACTTTATAGTTATTATCTCACATCCTTTCCCCTGAAAGTGCTACTAATAATTCCAAATGAAACCCCAGGAAAACAGCTACAAATCCCTTTGTTACCTCTAGGAATGAAGAAACTTTTCCATTCTACTGCGGCTCCAGCTTCATGGTATGCAGAACCCATTTGATGCAAAGGGCTTCACAAACAGTATCATTTCATAGTACAAGTCTAGAATTAGTACTGATATTTTTTTCATGTTGAAACATTTAGGTCCCGAAGACATGAATCTCTTACATGTAGAAATAGCCAAGCAGGGAGTCTTCAACTTTCAAGCATGGTGCTAAATTTCTCCAATATTCTTACCAGAGCATTAGACTTCAGTTGATGCTAGATTCCCTCAAACGGTTCAAAGAAGATACTAGAAAGTTATACATTGTCCTTCAGTAATCTTGCACGAATAAAGTAGATGTCTACACAAACAGCAGCCCAAATATTCAAGCCAAACAGGTCCAATAAGTTGACTGTTTCCCTTTATAAAACTTAGGTATTCAGAGAAGCACAGAACTGCATGTCAGAACTCTGTTGGCAAGATAGTTATTATTTTGGTGCTGCATAAGAGACCTTTGGAAGGAAAAAAAGAGCAAGAAATTCAGAAAGTTGCCCAAATCTTGTTTCACCACTGTCTGTAACTCTGACCTAGAAGAGACCTTCCTATGTCAACTGTATGTGGGGAATGTGAAAGACACCCTAGGACAATATAGTCCATCAGATTTCAAGATCATCCTGCCTTTTAAGTGGAGGTGTTTCTAGAACCCAGTAGGAGTAAGCACATTCATGTCCCGGGGTCTGAGGTTATGAGAACGTGGGGACCGCTTCTTTTCATCCATAGCTGGAATGTCCATCTTGGGAGGCTTGAAAGTTGCAGGGTCCTCTGCCATCCTGGTGGCCTGGGCACGCATTAGTTCCATTGGGGTTGGTTTCTGGGCACCCTTATAGGCCTGGACGGTAAAACCCCCTGAGAGAAGAAGAGGATACAAAAGAGATAAGAGAAAGGCAAAAGCAGCAAACCATTACGCACATCTGTGCAGATGTACAGCACAATCAAGACTTGTGTAAGCAATTGCCATTTCATCAAATTCTAAGCACTAACCTGGCGTGCTCTGGTCCGTGGGGTCACGAAGAGTCGGACACGACTAAACGACTAAACAACAAGCACTAACCACCATGTGGCATGTGGCAGTTCTCTTTGTCAACAAAAGATATTTGTGTATTCCTATAGTGACAGTCATATGAGGAAGCTATACCTAAAACTGCAACTCAAGTATCCCCTTGTGATAAGCTTTTTGCACATAATCTATGGCAACGGCCTTGAACAGAATTTAATTGTCACTGGAAGATTCAGGAATAGTTCTGGCAAATCAGCATTAAAGGAGCAATGCAGATGGTTAAAGAGTCAGAATAATATTCACTACATTTTTTCTTAAAAGAAGTAAGTAGGCAGAGCATCTTTGCTTATTGGGAAACTATGGAACAGACATTGCTCTATCAAATATGACTGAAGGCAAAACAAAACACTAGTAGTTAACACTTAGTAAAACCACATTAACTACAAATTTAGGATTAACGCTGCTGTTACAAAAGCACAATAATGTGGTTGGGGGGCGGGGTACAAGACTGAATCCAAAGTTTGATTTTCCGATCTTTGAATGCAGCATTCAAGTTCAAAGCCATAGACTGCAGAAAGCTGTGGACACACATTTTACTATATGCCACACCTTGATATATGCATTCTCTTCTGTAGTCCCAATTCCAATTGACAATGAATTCTTCCCATTTACTTTTAAGTCTCTTCATAATTTTAACTCTTCGTTAGAGCAGGGCTCAACTAATACATCAGTTGACTCCCATCAGCAGAATTCCTGCACAAGGGCTTTCACTTGTGCTATGGGGCTTTCCCTCCTCCTCTCCCCATACACCCCAAAATTGGCTCTGGGGACATCAGGAGAAGCCCTGGAATAGTAAGCAAGGGGAGGAGAGGGGGGATTGTTCTTTCTGGCAAGCCAAAATGCTTGCCTTGACAAAACAAGTACCACAGTGTGATGTTTATTTTCTCCTTTAGTCTTTAAAGCAAAAGCTTGCTACTCCGGTCTTTTGTAAAATGAACACATATTTTTGAAGACTGTATTTTTGGAAGAACGCATATTTTTGAATACATAAAGACTGTTTTCTTAAAATGTTGCTGTACCTGAATCTGTGTGTTTTTGAAGAGCTCTAGGTCCAAAGAAGCTCCATTTTTCAGACGGTACTTTATCGCCATCCCCACCACCGGAATCCATGGCAGCAAGCTCAGGACCCGTGATGGATGCGGAGGACCCCTGACTAAACCAACCCCTGAAGAGAACAAATCAATTAAGAACTGAAACCGGATAGGCAGACCATGGTAGTATCTGACTACCACAAACATTTAATCCCAACTGAACAATTCTCACTCCACATAGGTTTACACCAAAAGATAAATCCAGGAAAAAATTATGTGAGCCACATTACCTACCCACAACTGAAAGACTGGGTATCTTTAAAAACGCAGCAAAAAAGCATTGGACAGATTCCACAAACAGGATTCACAAAACCCAAAAGGAAGCTAGGATTCCTATTAATTTAGACACATAGTTAAGTGCCCTTTGTTTTCCTCTTGGGAAATGTACCTGTATGTGCGCTTGGGAGAGGAATGGGGAGTGCTGCTTGGAGTGGACTGGGCGGAAGAGGCCTGTTTATCTTCTTTTGCCATCTCTCCACTTTGCATCTTTAGGTTCTGTTAGAAAGGGTAAAGATGTACAGTTGGAAGCTTTCCAATTCTAGCAAGTGAACAGCGAGCAGCCACAGTTTAATTTTGTTTCTTTCATTGGTAAAGCTTAATAAAAGCATGATGCAGCATATTAATGAGACTTGCATGCAAGATTGTATGGAGACATTTCTGCCTCAATTACAGCTACCTCTCAGACATACCATCTTTCAAATCATCACCCTCTATTACTGAACTTTGTATTCCGCTTCAAAGGCATAGCACCCATTTCCCAGTAATAGTAAATTCTATATGTTCAGTCTCAGAAAGTTAGGCTTTTAGTGCAGGGAAATAAATAATTTACATAAATTACTTTCAGTGCCAATGCCTCACTGGTACTGATCAAGAACTCAATACATTATATTTAACTGGCACTAGATTCAAGCTCTCTTAACACAAACTCTGAAACAGGATGCAAACCGGAAAAATCCTTGATTCTATTGTGCCAATGGCACCTATTAGCAAACTTTCCACACTTAGTTCTGAAAAGTAGTAATTTACAACCAATACCAATTTAAGGAATTCACTACTAAAGCACAGTGAGACCCAACACCTTACATGGAGTGACTCAGCCACACGATGGTATTTAGTCTCCTCTGCAGTGAGGCCTTTGTGGGGAGTGTATCCGGCATCTCTCAACCCTGCCTGCTGCTCAAAGCGTTGAATGCTCTCCTGAGTTTGCTCTAGAACGGACAACATGACACATTCATACAAGCCACAAACACTACGGCCTGCAACAAAGTTCTAAAAGGCAATATCCTATAGCCTTTATAGTTATTAGAAATGATAAAGCACGGAGGGAGAGATTTCTTTAAGCCATCTATTATAAAGCGCCAGAGCAACGCACAGCACAGTTAAAAAATGTTCTGGAACTTTCATCATTCCAGCAGATTGGAAGGGGAGGACAGGACTAAAGTTAAAAAGAGAGACCAGTATAGTAAAATAATCTAGGATTGCTTTGTTTATTAAATTTGTATACAGCCCTTCACCCAAAGATCACAAGGTGGAGAATATAAATAGCCCCCTTCCCACAAACACATTTAAAAGGCCATAGATTGTCTAATCAGCTAAAGGCCTGGTTATACAGAAATGTTTTCCTTTGCCCTGAGCTCTTCCTACAAGTGAGCTCACTGTATTTTTGGGGTTCCAGAACCAGACTTTCTAAACCAGGGATGGGGGACATGCGGCCCTGCAGGTGCTGTTAGATATTGTTACTGTCTATTGGTCATATTGGCTAGCTGATGGAAGCAGTAGCACATTATCTTGAGTCACAGGTAGGTTCCTCATCCCTGTTCTAAACCTTTACTGCGACAACTTTTGTTATGTTCTCATGAATGCAGCATAAATTCATACATAATCAGAAGCTGGGCCCAAAAAAGAAGCCACCAGGGTTTAGGAGGAACATCTTCAGAATGCCTTCCTCCAATCTACTGTTATTCAGAGCAGAAACCTCAACCCTGTCCTTTAGTAGCTTTTTTAAAGAAAAATTATGCAATTGTAACGGCTATCTTTAAATATTAATAAAATATGTTTCCAGAATTATTTCTTAAACATAAAAGGAAGTTTCCTTCATTGTTTTACTGTAAGAAAGTAATATACCTGAACTAGACTTCCATTCTGCTGTGATCACTAGACTTCCAAAACAGAAAAACTACAAGAGACTCAAAATGATGAAATATATATGCCACATCCAAAGCATGCTGATTCAAGCATATTGTCTATGTGCCAGTTATCTGCCCATTAGTAGGAGGAGGAAATGTACCATTAGCAACCTAATGAAGTTGTTTAATTCACTGTAAATTCAATGGAAGTGTGTATTTAGTTTTCCCAAAAGATTTAACAGCTACAATTAAACATACGTAGGTGCCAACAAATTATCTTCCACAGCCATTCATTTTAATACATTGACTGGACAAATGGAATGAGTTTGCCAAGCTAACAAGAAAGAACTGGCAGTACAGTCCCACTACCACAAAACACATAATGAAGTGTTGCAGGACTTAAGAAGAACTAAATTTCCATGCTGTTTCCCTTAGGTTACATGCTAGTATTTAGGTACTAAAGAGGATCAGAATATGGAGGTAGAGCATCAAATTCATTCTTACAGCATTTTGTTTGACCCTTTCCATTAGGGGATCCAATCTCTTTGAAGGCCTTTCTGAACAGACAACTATATCACAGAGAATTAAAATAACCCACATGGTAATGGGAAATAAACCATATTGCAAAATTTGATCTCCAGGGTAACTTGCCTACTAGAGGAACACAAGAGCTCTTACTTGTGATGAGAGAATTCATGATGATGTGGGTGGCCTTGGCCTTCACTACAGGAACCTTGTTCACAGTCTCAGTGGAAGATGAGGGGGTAATGGCAGATGGATGCATGCTAGTCTCCCCTTCCTCATCCTGTGCAGAGGAAGCCAGGGACAGTTTGAGGAGAAAGGGGCAAAATTACCTTAGGAGAATCTCACACACTACTCCTGATCCTCAAGGGAAGGAGTCCTGGAATCATACTTGAACTGTACAGATTGAACATGGTGCTCTTGCCATTTTCCCACCCTCTCATCTATAACATTTTAATTCTGTATAGTATTTAGAAATCTTTGGTCTTGCATCCAGCAGATAATCAATCTCAAAATATCATTATATGAAGCGAGAGATCACTCCTATTTTCACCAAAAACCAGATCCGCTGTAGTCCATGAAAACAGGTGAAAATATTCTCTCCTGCACAGAAGATAACTCCAAGCCCCAAGTCTAGTTCTCCTCATAAGATAACAACTATGGCTTTCTGATTATTCCCTGCTTTTGAAAAGTAAATCCAGGGTCACAATCTGTTACTTGCCACCCACCCACAGCCATTTAACCCTAGTCAAAATCTATAGGTTTTTTTAAAAAAAATCATACCAGCTCTTCGTTGTGACACGTACACTCTTTTTGTCAGACATTTCACCAGTTCTGACCAGTTACAGCCATTGTAATGAAAATAAGTGTTTCTCCCTCAATAATTGTTGCTATAAAAAGTATCAGAAGAGCATCTGTATTATTGGCATCTGCTTGACTCGAGAGAAATGGCGTGTGCCTCTGGAGCGAAGCCAAGCAGCTGTTAGTAGCACTGAAGTGACCTCTCAGGGGTGCAAGCCTGGGCAATGTGTATGGAGGTCCTTGGCTGCCCAGTCAACAAGACCCTACTCTCAGCCTTGCTGAAGTGGTCCAAAGGAAAGCAGAGCAATACGTTTGGTACCAGCTTGGCTTCAGGAGTTGCCAGAAGGAGGCGTACAAGGTGCCAACCAACCATCTTAGGGACTACATTCTGGTTTTGTGTAGGGTTTACCCCTTAGCTTTTTCTTCCCTGAAGATATCCTGCAAGGCAGCAGAGGTTTAGGATCAGGGTTTTCCTTCTCCTAGGTGGATGAGCCCCACCTGCCCCTCACTTCCCTCTACAGCATGTGCAGAAACTGCCTTCTTGACACTTGGACCCACTATGGGTCTTGTCCGCTCAATCTGCCAGAGCCTGTATTCACATGTAGGGGAAGTCCCTAACTCACCAAGGGTTTGAGACCACTCAGCTACCCTCACCTGGTTTAGCCGGCCAGTCAAAGCTGTTTCCCGGGGTGTGGCTGTCACATGCTGATAACTTCTAGGAGCCACAGGTGAGAGCTGAGTGCAGCGTGGGAATCAAAGGTGGACAAAGTACCCCAGAAGTAGCACACTACATCTCCCACCAGAGGTACTACACCTCCCCTAACACCCCATACACCCAGAAGAGCAAAGCAATGCAAATTTGATGCCCCTCAGCACAGTAAATTTCAGTGGTTGATTTACGTCTTCAGTGGGACATTAAAAGTGGTATTTACTGGACACCTCATACCACCTCTATAGTCACTCTAGAGACTGCATACCTTGGAAATATTTTCATATTTGCGTTCTGGGACGACTGGCTGTTTCCACAGGATATTGGTGGACATATTTGGAGGAGGAGGGGTCATTGGTGCTGTATCCTCAAGGGCATCATCATAACTGAATGTCCGACGGTTCATTCCAATGGGTTGGGACATCTTTCCTAGAAAGCCTCCAGAGCCATGCTCAATAGCTAAGGACAGAGATGAAAATTTCACAGTAGGCTGCACTTTTAGAATGTCAACTTTATACAAGCAAGTAGTACAGATCACATTAGCACTTATTTCATTAAGATGATCTTCTAGCATCAGTATCACAGGATTTTAGAACATTGTGATGTAACTAACTTTCTTTCAGGCCCAAGGCCACATCACCGTATTCCAACTCCGTCAGGGCAACATGCCACAGGTAGGCATGGCCACCTTATAGCAGGCAAGCAAGAGCACCTGTGCACAAGCCACCACATGCATACCAGGGAACACGCACACAAACAGCAAGCAAGGTGAAAAATGAAATTGACAATAGCTGTGAGGGTAGTTTCAACCTCTCTGCCCAGTACTATGAGGATGAAATTCCATTAGTGTACTATGCCCCCCTCAATCTCAAGGCAGCACCACACTGGGTCAGGGAATTAGGGGCTACTGGAGAAGACTTAGTGGACTGGATGAAGCCCACTGGCCACTGGTTCACCACTACTGATCAAAACAATGCACTTGATCCATTTCAACTAATAATTAGAGAGCTAAAGGTGCTACTAGAGCTAGAAATTCTTAGGCCAAAGCTCCTAGAAACACTGTTACTCAAAAAAGTCTACTGCCTATTAATTTAGGCAATTATCTAGTCCAGAATTACTAAAACCCAAGCCCTGGCACTAAAGCATTTATTCAGAATCTTTTCCCACATGAGACACCTAGGATCAGGAAGGTAATCAACTTTTCATTAAAAGATGTTCAAACAGAATAACCCCAGAAAACACAACCTAAAAAAAAAACAGGCTAGAAAATGTTTAGGTACTTAGGATGGTCATTCAATTTCATATGGATCTGAAGAATTTTCCATCCCTGCCGAGATGACTTCCCAAACTAATGGCAAACAGCCTTTTCACCCATAATCAGGTAAATAGGCACACTAACCATCGGATTTCAATAAATTCACTCAATAGCAAATTAAAAGTCAAGTAATGGTAGCATGAAATACATAATCCTGAAGGCAATCTGAAAAACTACTTCCAGGAACAGATGGAAGAATTCATCTCAGGGGAGAACTCCATCAATTTAGTAATTAATTCATCATTATCTAGTTAGCAGTTGTTGGTCATTAGCAGGCAAGAAAACTGACAACTGCAACCATAAGATGCTAGGTCACCAACAGATGTATTGTTGAAGCGCAATTACAATTCTCTCTAGAGCAGAGTCAGATCTTTATGTGTGTCTGCATTTAGTGTGGTACAGCTAGACCTTCATAAAGACAACACAAATAGACTTGGGAGATTTGAATAAAGGGCCTGATGATATTTGTTACAATTACCACTAGACACTTTTACACCCGACACATTTACTTAGATAATTAGTTTTACCAGGAGCATCTGTTCGTCTTGAAGCCATGATTGCAAGTCCAGGTGTTTCACTATATGGAAATCCAGAACAGTATTGCTGTTACCTAATAAAAACAGAGGGTACTTTCATCTGCAAAAGTTACACCATAGCAAAGGATCCTGGTTTATAATAAAACTAGAGTATGTCAATGAAGCTCCACATATTTTACTTTGCTTATAAAGCTAGCAAGATGTCTAACATTTATTTTGATGATTTAAATAATGAAGCAATGAAAAGGTATTATGACCTAACTCATTTTAAATTAATCAGCCTGCGTATCATTGTAATCAAAGTTTTTATAAGGAAAAAAACTAATAGAGCTTACCACAACTTATGATGAGAGAAAGATGTCAAAAAAGGACCATTCTGTTGCTGATGCTGAAACTAGCAAACCATCCTCACGAGCTTCCATGCAGACAGACTGACAAAAATTCAGAAGCAATAAATCTTTACTAAAGTAAGACAGTCTACAAATGCAGTAAAATTGTATTCATAATAACCTAATTCAATACTGACAGAAAGCCACTTCAACCTTCATAAAGGAGAAAATAGTGCACAACGCTCAAATGCCTCATCTACCTGTTAACCATTAGGTTGGTGGTTTGAGCCCACCCAGAGACAGCTGTGAGCGGAATTTCTGTATTGCAGGGAGTTGAACTAGATCAGGGACGTCCAACAGGTAGACCGTGATCTACCGGTAGATCACTGAATGTCTTGAGGTAGATCACTGGCTTCCCCAAAGAAGCTCAACAACTTTGTGGCTTCCCTTAAAAAAGCTCAACAGTTTAGCCCCGCACCCCCACAAAACGGTGCTTTCCTCCTCCCTAAAAAAAAAAGCTCAACAACTCTGACCTGAACCCCCCAAAAGGGGGCAGATCACTGCCAATTTTTAACTCTGAGTAGATCGCAGTCTCTTGGGAGTTGGCCACTCCTGGACTAGATGATCCTTCCAACTCTACAATTCTATGTGGGAATTCTCTAACATCTGAAGCGGTCTCAACTAGACACTATGTACATCAACCACACCAAAGAAACCGTCACTCAGTTGGACTGTCAAGTACTTGCAAAAATATAAAATATAAATATGAAGTTATAAATTAGCATACTTGGACTGCAGTAGTAAATAAATTAAGTCCAGTCGAAGTTGACTATGGGGTGCTGCACTCATCTCACTTCAAGCTGAGGGAGACGGTATTTGTCCACAGACAGCTTTCCGGGTCATGCGACCAGCATGACTAAACTGCTTCTGGAACAACAGAATACCCTGATGGAAACGCTGTTTACCTTCCCACTGAAGTAGTACCCATTTATCTACTTGCACTAGCATGCTTTCAAACAATGGAATTCAAACTGTGGACCTTCCTACTGCAGTGGCAACAAGACAGGGTCAAAGAACACTCCACATCTCAATCAACATCTAAGTAATCTACAATGGCACCTGGTTTCAAGGCAATGGGAAGTTTTCCAGCACAATATAAAGCAATCAACAGTGGTAGTTTACCTTTGAATTAATAAAATACAATGGTCTCAAAAGGTATTCTGGTGATTTACCCAGACAATCAAAGGTAAGCATCAAATAACTCAGGAGAGGTAGGTATTTCCATGAGGGAAATGCAGACTTGCCATAGATATAGCCTCCATAGCAGTAATGTTATCAGAGTGGGTGAGATATAAATAAGATACCACAATGTAATTTACATTAATTTTTCTAACCATCATCTGTTGGCCAGTTCTAAGCATTTTATTCTTCTTCCAACTGCAGAAACTGCTGACCTGGAAAGCAGCCATACAAACACCCACTAGCTCATGCCAGCATATTCTCCCATATGGTTGCAATTAACAGTAGACAGATGCTGTAAATGCAGCTTCAAAAGGCACAGAGTCCAAATGGCCACTTAAGTCTTGTCCAGCATTTCTCACTAGAGACCAACAATTGCTACTTCTTGCAGCCAAGCAAGCAGTTTAAATCCAAGTGAGCCTATTCTCTTCCTCCTCCAATAATGAGAGAGGATGCAGGGGCTAGTGGCATTGGCTGCTTTTAACATACTAACTGTATACAACATCTAACTGCTGAAGCACTTTACATATTATTATGAATCACTTTGAACAACCATCAACATGCAAAGAAAATAAGTTTTGCTGTAGGCTCAAAAGGTTTAGTCCACTAACAATCATTCCCTAAGCAAGTGTGTAAGGGAGGGAGCCACACCACCGACAAGTGTAGGCAACAGGTCCGTCTCATAGGTTAGGCTACAACCCTATACTCGCTTTCCAGAGAGTAAGCCCCTTTGAACTCAATGTTTAGGAAAGTTTTTAATGTCTGACGTTTTATCGTGTTTTTAATATTCTGTTGGGAGCCGCCCAAAGTGGCTGGGGAAACCCAGCCAGATGGGCGGGGTATAAACAGTAAATTAGTATTAGTATTTGGCTTGCTTCCGAGTAGACATGCATAGTTAGGCTGAACACCGACAGGGAAAGGAGAGGCGTTAGTTTACAAAACGCATGCAGTGAGATTAAAAACGCGTTTAATATATTTTTGCATGTTTACTCGAGAGCAAGTCTCACGGAGCCTGCAATAGGCCTTGCTCCCAAGTAAGTGTTTTTAGGATGGCACCCTAAGAAAAAGAGGCGGTTGCCTCAGATTTCACCACAAGCAGCATCTTCCGTCCACGTCCCGCCCTGTCCCGGGGGGCAGTTCAGGTATTTTCCAAATACTGTAGGCTTCAGGCTCTTCCAAGCAGATGTCTGGGAAGGTGTCGCGCAAAATAAATTCCGCCGGAGCCTTTCATCCCCGAGCCCAGCCTCCTCCTGATGGTCTGCGGCGGTTCCACGACCGGCCTATCCCGCCCACTATGCGCCGTAAACAACAAGGCCGCGCTCGGCTGCTTTGCCTGCCTGCCCTCCCGCCCGCCTCTTTCTCTTACCTCCCTTCTCTTCCTGGGCCGCCCGCAGCCCCCGGACTGGGTTCCCCCGGTACTAACAGGCCCGCTGCGCCCACGAGTCGGACGAGAGCAGGAGGCGGAGGAGGCCGCCCGCGAGCAGACGCCGGTCAACGAGATCCGGAGGCGCCATGGCGCAGCCCGAGCCGGGAGGAAGAGCTCAAGCCAGGCCAAGCCAGATCACCAGCAACGCGGCTGACGACATGCAACTCAAAGGACGCTGGCGGAGGGAGCGCAATATATAAGCTTAACGATCTCGCGAGAGTTCAAGCTCGCGGCGTTTGAGAGACTAATTCTGAGGGAACTTAGCCGTTGGTATTCAGAAGTGTACGGGCTCCGGCCACGGAGACGGGCAGAGCGCCGGGGTGGTGCAGGCATTGATATACGTACAGTGGCCTTGTTCTCTATGAATCTGTCTAATCCTCTTTTAAAGACGTCCACGTCGGTTGTCATCAGTGCCTCCTGTGGGAGCGAGTTCCATAGTTTGTGCTGTGTGAAGAAAAAGTACTGTACATTCTTTTGTCCTGAATCTTCCAACATTCAGCTACATTGTATGTCCACGAGTTCTAGTGTTACTAGAGATGGAGAAAAATGGTTCGTTTTCTCCATGCATAATTTTATATCTTTCTAGTGCTTTTTTCTAAAAAGAAAATGTTTAGGGGGTACTCTCATTTTCCTACTCATATTGAAATACTGCCCCTCAGTGAGGCCAAACTTAATGTCTGGGGTATGTGTACCCCTGTGTCCCCCCAGAAAAAGGCACTGTATCTTTCTATCATGTCACCTCTAAAAAGCCCCAAATGCAGCAGCCTTTTCTCATAAGGGTATTGCTCCATCCCTCGGATCATGGTGGTTCCACCTTTCTGAAACCTTTCCAGCTCGAAAATAACCTTTTTGAGGTGAGGCAATCAGAGCTGTACACAGTGTTCCAGAGGCAGTTGCCCCATAGATTTGTACTTGTATCGGCAGTTTTATTTTCAATTCCTTTCCTAATAATTCCTAGCATGATATTTTCTTTTTTCTTTTTTTTTCACCGCTGCCACACACTGTCAGCTTCTTCATTGAGTTGCTCACTCTTTTTCCTGGTTAGTCATCACCAGTTCTGACTCCATAAGTGTATAGGTTAAATAGGATTTGGGGCCCCAGCATGCATGAGTTCACACTTATTTACATTGAATTGCCCTTGCCATTTTACCACCCATTCACACAGTTTGAAGAAGTCCTTTGGAAGCTTTTTGCTATCCTTCTTTGTTTTAATGACTGAACAACTGAGTATCATCAGCAAACTTGTCCACCTCACTGCTCACCCCTAACTCTAGATCTTTTAAAAAAAAAAAAAGTTAAAAAGCACAAGTCCCAATACTGATCCTTGGGGGACTCCACTTTCTACATCTGTTCTCATCCTGAAGTAAAGTTCTTAATCCGAAGTACTATTTCTGAGTTAGCGGAGTCTGTAACCTGAAGCGTATGTAACCTGAAGCGTATGTAACCCAAGGTACAGTACCACTGTAGGTTAATAAAACAGGCCTTACTCTTGCAGAACTCATGCTCGCTCTGCTTCAGCACAGCTTGTGCTAGATGACTGGTCACGGTGTTCCGTTGCACTAAACATGGTTTAGTCATGCTGGCCACATGATCTGGAAAGCTGTCTGTGGACAAATGCCGACTCCCTCGGCCTGAAAGCGAGATGAGTGCCGCAACTCCATAGTCGCCTTTGACTAGACTTAACCATCCAGGGGTCCTTTACCTTTTTTACCTATATGATTGGTTGTTTTATCTTGAACAATACCTCCCACCAGTTTCCCCAAGGCAGACGTTAAGCCAACCAGCCTGTAATTTCCACAGTGCTATTGAGGAATCTGCCCCTTTGGGGATTTCTGGCTTGCTAATTTGATGCTTTCTTTAACAACCAGAGCAACACCAACTCCAGTATGTCTTCCCTGTTCTTCCTATAGTATTTATATCTAGATATAATCATGTCCTACTGGTTCTCTCCTTTCCACCAGGCTAGTCATGCTTGGAAGGCCTGTTATGAAACGATGGGAATTGTGATTTTGTGCTCTAGTTTTGCGTAACGTTGCTGAATTGCCACTGTATTCCTGTAATACAGAAGCAATTTAGTTACAAATCAAATGACAGACCTTGAAGCCATATTTCAAAGCTGTAATTTGCCCCCACCCCAAAGTCCCTGACACATGCACACCCACACACCTCTTTGCAGCAGACGAAAGTTTGGTGAGATGTGGAGGGGGCAACTTTTGCCAAGCCCTGGTATGCATGTGTACTTAAAGGCAGGGGAGGGGGGAACTGTCCAGAACAATTATATAACTTCAATAAGTTATGCCTTTCTTCTTGTTTTCCTCTTTCCTCCCCATTACGTTTTCCTTTTGTATGATGTCTGTTAGTTTGTGAGCTTGAAGGCAAGGGGCCGGTTTGTCTTTTAATCTCTGTAAAGCACAAATAAAAAAGTAGGCACTTTAGAAGTAATGTTGTTGTTTTTAGAAGAAGAGTGAAACTGGAACCTTGCAAACATTTGTGTAGGGCTCACAAGGATTTCATATGAAGGTACTAATATTCAACCTGTATTCCAAAGCATACTGCCTTTGACAGTGGAGGTAGAACATGTTCAGGGTTAGTAGCCTCTATCTATCTATCAAACCTTTTTTGAAAATACAAATTAAAAGTAAAACAAAACAGATGCAAAAGGTGAGTACTAATATAACAAGTTTAAGACAATTCAGTAACTATGCATACTAACAATCTTAACTCTTTCTCATTTAGATTTTCTTTAAAGGGTTTCAGGATAAAGAGAGAAAATAACTCAGAAGGTCCATAGTCTAGAGTACATGGGCCAGGGGAGAGGGCAACAGCCACTTTCCATTGAGCTTTAGCACTTATAGCTGCAGAGAAGCCCTTGAAAGCAGGGTTGGGTTGCATCCCAATAACCCCATACAGAAAACAAAGGAAACTGCACACATATTGCAGTATTGTTTTGTGACCTTTGGGAAAGTCAGAACTTACTGAGTGTCCCGAATCATCAAAGGATTGTTATTAGGCAAGGTATCTGCTTGACACTGCAGTTCCAGCAAATAATGCTGTTGCTTTTATTTTTTAATGCAAATATGTCAGAGAAGAGAGATGGAAATAATTCTGAAAATGGCAATTTATTCCTCCCACATAAATGGTGCTTTTCTTCCGCAATGGGCTGGATAGTTATCAGTACCATGACTCCTTTATTAAATATACCTTTAGGAATCATGACACACTTCTCAGAGGCTGCTCAGAGTTTAATAAAAAACACTAATAATAATACAGTGTTACAATGGAATGAAGAGAGGGGTCTGAGATCAAGTCCCTATCCTGGCTGTTGTGGGCAGGAGCTGTTTCTCTTTTATTCTCTCTTATTCTCTCTTCCCCTCAAGACAATATGGTTCCTCAGAAATCCCCCCCCCATTTTTTTTCATCTTTTAATTTTTGTCTTTTGTTATCATTGTTCTCTTTGTTTTATGTACATTTTAAAATGAAATAATAATATAAAACATTTACAAAAAAAGAAAGTTCCCCCCTTCAATATTTATTTATCTACAATACCAGTTATGTGCTGTCTTTCAATATCAAGCCCTCCCAAGGTGGTTTACAAAAGTTAACTAGCTTCATATACATAGCAGGAACACGGGGCTTCCAGATAAGAATCATCAGTCTACCTGCTCCCTGGACCCCTATGTGATATTACTTTTACCCATTCCTATGATCCACTTGCCCTGAGAATTGATATTTCTTTCGGGCAGGAGTCCTAGACTGTGGCATGTCTGTAAAAATACAGTTAAAAAATCACACCTGCCCAGCTTTATCCAACTTGCCTCTGCATACTGATTGCTGGAAACCGCAGGAGGGGAGAATGCTCTTGTGCTCAGGTCCTGTGTGCCAGGCATCTGTTTGGCCACTGTGAGAACAGGATGCCGCCAACATGATTTTCATGGCAGTGCCTCAGAGGCAGACCAGTTCCAATCTGCATTTTGCTTGGGCATGGACAAACCCTCAGACCATTTGGTCCATCTAGACAGTTAGTACTGTCTACACTGACCAGAGGCAGCTCTTCAGGGTTTCAGGCAAGCTTCTTCTCCCTTTGCTCTACCTGGAGATGCCAAAGATGAAACCCAGGACATTCTGCATGCAAAATGTCCTGTCATCTTGGCATGAGACATGAGCAAGGTTGGTCTGAGACATTTTGGCCTCTGGGGTGAACCACAAAATGGCACCTCCCCACCAGGGAAGAAAAGGTGAGTGAAGTTATACCGCAAGAACAAGGTGGAATTAAAGATCTACATCCAGATCTGCTGCCCCTGTGGATCCTGCCACTAGAGGCAATTGCCTCACCGTGCCTCATGGGTGGGCCAGCCCTGGACATGGGTAGGGGGACTTGTGGCCCTACAGATGTCATTGGACCCCAGCTCCCATTACTGTATTCCCAGGCAGCATGACCAGCGGTCAGGTATAACGGCAGTCTCAATCCAGCAATAGTGAGAATTCCGCCTTGGTGTAAGGCAGTATTACGTTCAGCAATGCATTTTCTCTTTCTCTGTCACCCACCGCCCGCTCCCGGGGAATCTTACTAGGTGGAGAGACAGGGCAAGTCCCCTTTAAGGCCGAGAGTGACGTCAGCCGGACTCCGTCCGCAGTTTGCTGGGGCTGATGCTGCCACCGGCCGGGAAATTCTCTGGCTGCTTAGACTGAGTCAGCAGCGCGCGCGCACGCACAGAGGCTGTTGTTGGTCAGCTGGGCGCATCTGCTGTGGATCGCTGCACTTGCTAGTACACAAGCCTCTTCAACCCAGGTTGCTAACTTGCGAAATAAGGAAGCACACGGATTTAAGGCAAGCCCAGGAGGCTGCAGGGGACTTTTCTGTGCGGGTTCATTCGGAGTGAGGCGCTGCTGGTGTTGTTGCAGTTGCCTCTTCGCCTGATTGGAAGTTGTTTCAGTCCGGTTCCTTCACCAATGGCTCCTGCTGGCGCCATCAGACACCTGAGCCTGGCGCTGGGCGCAGCGGTGGCCGCCCTGGGCTCCCTCCTTTTCATCGCCTGGAAGATCTACTTCCGAGACGTCAACGACAGCTGCATCGGCTGGAGGGGGCGCTGGGAGCAGCAGCTGGAAGCGGAGCTGGGGCGCAACGCACCCGGAGGCGAGGAGGTAAGATGGGTGGAGGCTGGGAGCGCCCTATACTCAAGGCCAGTGCTACTCTGTCAGCCTCCCCCTAGGACAATTGCAGCTCAGTTGCTAAAAGGAAGGAATATGTTTGAATCCATCCAGATCAGTCCTTTGCCTTAGGGAGACTGGTCAGATGTGGCAGATGGGGTCGTGATTCCAGGAAAGGTCCTAGAACAGATAATTCAACAGTCCTGTCCATGAGCACTTGGAAAAGGATGCCGTGATTCCTAAGACCCCGCATGAGTTTCTCAAAAACAGGTCATGCCAGAAGAATTTCATTTCATTTTTCATAGAGGATAGAGGTACAAGCTTGGTGGATCAGGGGAATGCTGCGGACATAGTGCTTCAGACTTTTGACAAAGCCCCCCTCCCCCTATTCTTGCAAGGAAGCTGGTAAAATGTGGACTAGATGGAGTAATTGTTGGGTGGATTTGTAGATGGTTAGCTGACTCAACTCAAAGAGTACTCATTAATGGTTCTTTGTCATCCTGGAAAAAAGTGATAAATGGGGGGCCAACTGCAGGGATCTGTCCTGGGCCAATGGTCTTTATAAACAACTTGGATGAAGGATTTGAGGGAATGCTCATCAAATTTGCAGTTGACATCAAACTGGGAGAGGTAGCTAGTGCTTCAGAAGACAGAATCAGGATCAAGTATATTGTTTTTGGATGCTTAATCTAAGAACTTTTGCTCCATAGGTTACATAGGTTTGTGTATAGTACACAAAATAGCTTGATCTTCAATTTGGCTGGTATCTTCCTTGTTTGGATGCTTAATCTAAGAACATTTGTTGCAACTGCATCTAACAGTGCAAGGCTATCCATCTCTTTCATCTCTAAGTGACCTTCCCCGACAGCCTAACAATAACAGCTTTACACACAACCCAAACATGAAGTCTGGTTTTGCAGACTTGGCAAATAGCCACAGGTGAGGCTGCCAGTCATGAAAGGCCCTCCTGCAGCTATGCTACTGCTGTGCCTCGAAGCCTTTCTTCTCTTTTCAGCCACCTTCCTGTGAGTATCAGATTTTGGTCCTTGGTTTGGATGGGGCTGGAAAAAGCAGCATTATCCACTATATCTGCAGCACAGAAGCCAAGATGCACATAGCACCCACGCAGGGCTTCAACTCAGCACAACTGCAGGCCAATGGGCTCCAGATGGACCTCCTGGAGGGTAAGTCCTACCACAGCCTCCTGGAAGCAAGGCAGTCTGGGACAGTGGGAGAACTTTGGAAGTGGCCTTGTATCATTGCTGTGAGGGAAATGTGCAAGGAATTCTCTCTAAGTCATTGCATCACAAATATTTGGGGGGGGGAGGGTTTTCTATGTGCCTAAAACAGAACTGAGTGTTCCATGCACCTCTTTTCTTTGGCAGTGGATGGGTGCCGAAAACATGCCATATACTCAACATGTATGGTTTTTATTTTTGGTCCTTTTTGTGTCTCAGTTGGTGGCAGCCAGAATCTACGTTCGTACTGGAACCACTACCTCAGCAAAGCCCATGTCCTAGTGTTTGTAGTGGACTCTGCAGATGGCCTGCGCCTCCACACTGCCCGACAGGAGCTCCATGGCCTGCTAGCAGAGGACCCCCAGTTGCCTCTGATAGTTCTCGCTAACAAACAGGTGGGCCTCTTCTTTCACCTGGGACAATCTACAGAAGCCTTTCTCAACCTAGGGCCCACAGATGTTCTTTAACTACAACTCCCATCATCCCTGACCACTGGACATTCTGGCTAGGACTGATGGGAGTTGCAGTCCAACAACTTATGGGGATCCAAAGTTGAGAAAGACTGGGTCTAGACTAGAGCAAGGCAGAGGAACCTTTTACCAGATGGAGCAGGACACCATTCCTGATAGGGATGACTCCTCCTGCGGGAGACAAGCAGGATCCTCAACTTGCAACACCATCTCTAGAGGGGAGGAGTCATTCCATCTCTCCAGACCTGCCTGCGGCAAGGGAAAGTTGGGTCTTTGTGTCTCTCTGTGTGTGCTTGAGTGGAGTGAGGCCAGAGGCAAAACTGGCCATGTTAACGGATATATAGTAAGCAATGCAGAAGTTATCTTTTGTATAGTAGGCCACACAAAGGTTAGCAGTGTTTACACACACATCTCTCCATCCTCCAGCCAGGCAAGCAAGAGGCGTTATCACAGTCCAATGATAACATTCTAGCAGGCAAATGCACACAAGGAAGGTGCAGAGCAGGGCTGGTGAGAGAGGTGTCCTGGGGAAGAGTTCCAAGGGCCAGATGGAGATGCCCGGAGGGCCACATTCAGCCTAGTTCCCCACCACTGATCTGGAGATGGAACCCTGGACATGCAGAGATGGAAGGGACCCCCAAGAGCCATCTAGTCCAACCCCCTGCAATGTAGATCTTGTCTGTGCGCTTGACATCTTCTGTATATCATTTGCTTGTACTGACATGACTAAGTATATTGGATAGCTTATGGTGTCGTTATAAGCATTTAATGTCAAGTATAACTGTCTCCTTCCCAGCTCTCCTTTTCACATGGATTCTTGTCTGAGAACGAGTGAAAGTAGATTTAAAGGTGTGCTTAAATACAGTTCTCTTAAGGACGGGTGGGGAAGCGGTGTCATTTGTTCAACCTGTGATCTATATCCACTCTAGGACAAGAGTGATGCGCTGAGTGTGGCAGAATTGCACGAGGAGCTGGCACTGAATACCCTGAAACATCAAAGGGAATTCTTTCTCCTGCCCACAAGTGCTACTGATGCTGGCCTGACCACCACAAACAGTGTTCTCCACCTGAAGAACCTGCTGCTCAAACTCCTGGCTCAGGTCTGAAGGTTCTTCAACATCTCCAGGATATTCAAGCCACATGGAGCCAACTCTTAGCTTCCTCTTAGCTTCTTGAGATCTTATCCTCAGAGAAATAGGCTTTCCAGGTCCTCAAAAGAATTTTTTAGGTGTTTACTAAACCCCCTTCTGGAAAGAAGCCTTACCGTCAATATAACCATCGAGACCTTGGCTAAAACAGGGGCAAAATATACTGACCGTGGGGATAATATAGTAGTCTTGGGGGTGGCTGCTGGCATCTGCTGCTGAAAGTCCTAGGGAATGGCACTGTCAATACTTGCACTAAGAACTATCACTTTGTCTTCAAGACTCGACACAGCAGGTCTATAGGGAAAGTCTGCCCTGTGCAGGCTGGAATACCTCATCCCTCACTGCCCTTTTGAGAAGCTGGGGATTGACTGTGCCCCTATGAAATACTATTAAATCCTCACTGCAATTAGTGGGGAACAGGATGTACCGTCTCAAACTGCCATGAGGGCTAGTCTGAGAGTGGGTGTTAAAGGAGCATCTCAGCGGAGCACGTGCAAGCAGCTATTCTGTTGAGGTGTCCCTGATGGCTGTTAGGGCTTTAAATGCTACTTATTAGTGCAATAAAATCTATCATACCTGATAAGCAACTTGATGGCTTAGCTGATCTCTCTCCAACATACTAGATGCCCTTGAATTACAGCCATTTCCTTAGCCTAAGCATGTTGGACCAATTGTGCTTCTGAGGCACTAGCTCCTTGCTCCAAGTGTCCTTGCTCAACTTCCAAAGTCAAGTTAGCCCCCAGTGAATTACTACCCTTAATCTCTTTCTGAAGAAAGAAAGAGTTGTGAATTTCAGTGAAAGGCTGCAGAAGGAACTGGGAAATTTGAGGTACCTAATATGAATTGCTGTGCCCAGGGCTAATGAAGCTGCAAATCACTTTCTCAGTTTGGTGCTATGTTTGATCTCAAGTCACCTGGCTCAGGACTCATTCCTATATAATCCATATTCCTCCTCAACTGGAAACTGTACAGTCAGATAGTGGTGGCTGGGACATGCCAAGGGCCGGCCTCAGAGTTTGGGCTGCCTGTGATGTGGAAGAAGTTGGTCTCAGACAAAATGCCAATCTTACCTCTAGAGAAAGGAAAAGTTTTACATGTTCAGCCAGGCAGTCCTGCACAGGGACCTTGTGTTTACAAGCAGAGTTAACCCAACCCTTGTGTGCTCTTTCTCAAACAGTACACATGCCAACTTCCTGTTCCCTTTCTTCATAGCCGGAAAACAGCAGTACTGCCTGAGCTTGGGCTACACTCCTTTTGCAAAACCTGATCACCTCTCCTGTCCCATCAAAGATTATGGGAAGCTTTGTTTGTGCCTGCGGCTTCTAGCCCTAAGTTCCTCTTGCCTGTATGAAATGGATAATTGGTGACCAACTGTTTACACTATGCCCTCCCCACTGTATCAAATAAAGCTTGAGTTGTTTGTCTCAGCTGTAAGGGATATGGTTGTGTTTTCTATGCAACTAGAGATATCACAAGGCCAGCAGCGTCATGTGTTATTGCTATTAAGAAAGGCAGAACTCAAGGACTGTTAAGGTCACTGCCAATACATGTACATAATTACAGTTAAGGGGTCTCTCTCTCTCTCTCTCTCTCTCTCTCTCTCTGTGTGTGTGTGTGTATTTTCATAGGAGCCTTCCCAAGGTCAGCTTTCCTTTGTACTTGTATAATGTCATCGCATGGGTGGACCTGCTGATACACAAAAATAGGACTTAAAATACTACAGCTGCAAAAAGTCAAGAAACTGAGACACCTTTCTATAGTAAGAGACCAATTTTTTAAAGAAACTTTTTTTTTTTTTAAGAAAGGGAAATATTTTACTCTTCATAAAAGAATGCTTGAAAACATACTGACTTTTGATTACAATGGTTTACCACAACTTCTTGTTTCCATAGCTGGATGATGCACCAAAATTTCCTGAGGACAGTCTTCCCCACCTGTTCTGCAGATGGTTTGGCAAAGCTGCTTGTCACTCACACAGCAAGAACAGGAAACATCCTTTGGCTGTGCTTTGTTACTGACTCGGGGCTTGGGAAAGAAGTTTATTTCAACAGGGATCTATCCCAAAGCTAAGATGGTGCAAGCAGAATGCAGCAAGGGCTCTCCAACAATTAGAGGTCAGACAAAGTCCCATCTACATAAACACCTTCCCATCTTCTCTCTTCAAAGGACACAGTTATAGATAATCCAACATTTCAGTCCCTGACCAGAAGTCACTTGAGGGCAAACTAGCATCTGAAATAATATAGGTGCAGCTGCTTCTGTCCATTTCTTTGGTGAGTAAAATCATTGCTGTTCCATCTTCTCTGGCTGCAGAGAGGCAACAAAGGTCTGGTATTCCTCAGGGTAGAAGCGTTTATATACATTGATTTTCCTCTTTATTTGCTTTGGTGTGTCCTGGTAATAGTTCTTCTCATCACGTGCCATAGCCTAGGAGGCGAAGAGTAAAGTTGTAATGAGCTACCTCAGCCTTAAGGAGGCCTCCCACACCCAGAAAGCAAGCAGTATACTGTACACCAAGAGTCAACAAGTGGCTGTGCACAAAGCAAATGGAAAATTACAACCACAGGAGTGCAGTCAGAAAATGTAGACTGAGTTCAGCTCAGGGTACAGGAAAGCACTATGGATGAAAAAAAGGAAGCAAACAGGGAATCGAGTGAGCTCAGCAGTTTTTGTTTTTTAAAAAACAGAGAAACCAGGAAATACTGAAAATTGGACATTCTAATGCTAGCAGCTGCAACCATTCGCTGTGGAGCTTCTAGAACAAAGAGTGCCTACCTTGTAGTTTTCACCATGGCTCCGGATCATGTGCTGGACATAGTCAATAAGATCTCGGGAGAGCGTCTCTGACTTCTTCTCTGGGAGGCTGGCCTCAGATTCCAACTCTTTAAGTGTTAAAAAGAAAAGGCAGTGAAGAAGAGGGAAGCGTTTTTGCACCCTGTGTGGCCTTTTTCGAGCAGAATAAATACAGCTAGATTCAACTAGTAGGATCATTGAAGTCACCCACATTTCCTCTTGAAACCAGCAGTTGGCCATGCGGTGTGATCCTTTTGTGGCCGGCCAGCTTTTGGGGTCTAACAGAAAATGGGTGCGGGGGGTTGGTTCAGACAGAAGTGGCCTCCAAGTTATAAAAACCGCACACAACAACAAAAGACTATGCATGATATCACCAGTGTTTCCCTAACAATGAGAGCTGATACACTCCAGAATACTGCACTTAATTTGAATAGGATAAATGGTTGCTCTCAGGATTTAGAGTTACAACAGTTCAGGTAAAAGGTTTCAGTATGAGGCATCAGGCCAACATATTCATTGCCAATATGAAGCTATTACCAACCATTTAGTACATATGGCTTCCGCACAGTTTTCACATTTGCTTCTTGTCCATCCACTTCCATTTTCAGCACCTGCATTTTAAAAGACATGGTAGATCATGTTTTATACCAATACATTTATTATGCATTGCTTTGTATGCTCTATAAAATGCTACCTAACTTTATAAATGCCTTAGCTGGCATGTTTTCATCTTTCCTTAAGGACTTAAAAGGATTCCCAACCACCCCATTTGTTTTTCTAATTTCATCATTCTCATTAATATTAATTGGAGAAGATAAACGCACCCGAATAACAAAGTTTCACTAGATTTGTCTTTCACAAAAGGGCAAATGCGGTAACACTTAAGGCAAACATGATGCAATGGTACTTCACCAATGCAGTCATTTCAGACTACTAAGTAACTCAAATTTTGGTAGCATCCCTAGAATAAGTTATCATTAGGAAAGTCATTCTGCAGTACTTTCACAAACCCACACAATTTATGTTCCAAGGAACGTTGGGATCACGGAATCTTAGAGTTGGAAGGTACCCGAGGATCATCTCGTCCAACCCCCTGCAATGCAGAAATCTCAGCTAAAGCATCCATGACAGGTGGCCCTCCAATCTCTGCTCATAAACCTCCAAGGAAGAAGAGTCGACCACCTCTCGTAGGGTGTCAAATATATCCCTCATCAAGGGCGCCACAGAAAGATGGAGATTTTTACTAGATCAGCAGAAATACCATGGAAACATCCCAAGGTTTGGAATTCACCAAACTCTCCATCTGACCATTTGTGCTTCTGACCATCATCATCATCATTTTATTTGTATGCCGCCTTTCCATAGTTGAAACTATGCTCAAGGCGGCTTACAACATGCCAAGATTTATATAATTACCAACATAACAAAAGTCATAAACAATAAATAAAACACATCAAAAGATGCAAAACCAAATGGAAAACAATTTCCACATAAATCATAAAATCTAAAACTAAAAATACAACATTAACATCAATAACAATTTAAAATGACATAGATATAAAATATCTATGCAGCACCCATTGGTGGTTTCAAAGGACTTCTAATGATACAACCTCTGTGGTGTAGTGGTTAGAGTATCGGACTAGGACCTGGGAGACCAGGGTTCAAACCCCCACCCGGCCACAAAGCTCACTGGGTAACCTTGGGTCAATCACCGCCTAACTTCCTCACAGGGTTATTGTGTAGAGGAGAACCATGCGTGCCACCTTGAGCTCACTGGAGAAGAAGGCAAGATATAAATGCAGCAAGCAAGCAAGCAAACTTTTTTGCCCGTGGTTTCCCTGACTCATAAAGTTTTTTATCATTTTGACCATTGTATCTAGTATGAAGGGTGAAGTGGGAAAGTGTAAATGAGTTTGAAATACTACCTTTTTATGTTCTCACAAACAGGTTTGAAATAACATTTTAGCAACTGCTTTCATGCATACCTTGTGTCTAGCCAAACACCACATGAGACCTTATGTCTTAGATATAGCATTTCCTTACTCAGAAATTTCCCCAGCTATTTCTGCAGCTGCCACTTTGTACATATTGTCTTGCTGGGACTGCATCCATCACCCATAAACTGGTTTTGGCTGAACTCCCAACCTGGAAACTTTACCTTACATATCACTACTCACCTGTTGCATTGTTTTCGGAATAGGTATAGCCTTGTTTGGATCAACAGCCAGGCCCATTTCTGCCAGGTTCTGCTTTACAGTTTTGGTCCTATCCCAGGCGTGTCGGATTTGGGTACTGAACAGAGATGGGGGTTGAGAGGAGGAAAGAATCATACATTAATATTAAGCATTCTTGAAGGGGTTCTTCCCCTCTCTAATAAGAATGGCCACACAACTAACTTAGAGAAAATATTAGCCACATTTGTCTACTCTAGACAGTTATGCCTGATTTCATTAATTTTAGAAGCCTGTTTGTTTCCTTGAACGCCTGCAGTCTTTCAACACATGGAAAGTAGGTAGAATGCTACTACATATGAGGTGTCTACTACCACATGGTTCCACAGGAGTACTTTTAAATCTGATTTACTGATAGGTCTAGCTTGGGAAGGGTCTTTGAACTACGGTACCATTAACTTTGCCCAGTGGCAATTCAGTACTGTACTTGATCTGGTGTAATCAATACCCTCCAGAATTGCTCCCAAGCATTACGAATGACAGAAAAGCATTCTGTCTTCCATGGGCAGGATATGTAGAAAACACCGTACAGCATTTACTTATTTGTATTTCGTTGGTTGGTTGGTTTATATTCCACCTTTCTCCCCTCCTGGAGTTCAAGATTCACAGGATTCTCAGGTGGTCACCCATCCTGATGCTGATGAGACCTGCTTAGCTTCAGCCAAACGGCTGCATCATGTACCTTTAGGCTAAAAAATGGTACATGGCACCGTAGAAGGGATTACAGAACAGCCTTTCTCGCCAGTAACGGCAAAAATGAAACAAACGGAGGGTTGTACTTTTATCAGCTTTAACTTCGGTGACTGGCTAAAGCTGGGAAAAAAGGTGGCAGTGCAGAAGCCAGCAGGTTCTGCTGTGCTTCTAGAGATGGCCAGTTCCTGCATTGAAGGGGTTGGACCAGATAACTCTTGGAGTCCCTTTCAATTCTACAATTCTATTTTTCTTCCTTTGGCATCCGGCTCTGCAGGGCCTCCGAGAGGGCACAACATTTTGTGGTTCACCTCGGGTGCCAAAATACCTTGGGCCAGTCCTGAGTGAGTGAGCCCTGCGGAGATCCAACATGCCCCATCCCCACCTGGCTAAGACGCGAAGGTTGGTCGGCCAGAGGAGCCCCGCTCCTCTCTCTCTGACGCCCTCTCTCCACCAAGTCCACCTGGCGCCTCCACTTCACCCCAATTCCCGGCCACTCACCATTTTATGCGGGGCGCCGCGCGCTTGCGGAAAGCCCTGTTCTGCTTCTTGCGGTCGACATTATAGTTGTACTTTTGCCGCCGGCTCTTCCCTTTGGCTTTCGGCATCGCGGCGACTCGGCGGAATATCGGTCGCAACAATCCAGCCGCACGCGGCTTCTAATACAGGTAGAAGAAGCCCGAGCCTCCGGGAGCGTCGCCCCGATGCCCGATGGGAAACGTAGTTCTGCGGACTCGGCAGACTCGGTTGCGTTCCTGTAGGAGAGAGTCAGGCGGACTACAACTCCCAGCAACACGGCGGGCGGCGGCGGGGAAATACACGTGCTCGTATTGCAGTTCCGGCCCAGCCAAGAGCGCTATTGGGCTACAGTGAGCCGCGCGCGCCGCCTCGTTTGTACGGTAGCCGAAGTGGGTCAAAGCATAACTTAGCGCGAAGCAGCCTGTCCGCCTTTCCCGTGGTGTGGCCTCCTCCGGCGCCTGTTCGACCATGGCTCAGAGCGCGCCGCCGCCCTTCGACCCCAACAACCCGCCCGTGATCGAGGGCTTCACGCCAACCGCCTACCACCCGGAGGAGGGGTTCGGGGATAAGTTCCGGCGCAAG